GTTAATTAAATGATAATATAACATGATATTTACATAATAATTACAGCCAACTGGAACAGATAATCGGTTATCAATATTTTCAATACAAGGTTAGTTTAGTTTACTTAGCTACGTTGATATTATGGAATATCTGGGCTATATCGAAAGAAAAAAAAAACAACAACAAGAAAACAATAAAATTACATCATTTCAGATTCCAAAGGGTAAGCAAAACTGTTTGCTTTTCAGCCAGTACAAACTTTAAAAAAAATTCCGTACACATGATAAATGTACCAAAAAGAGGTCAAAATATGCAAAAATAACCCTTACTGTGTAATAGCCATTCATTAGATATATGTTGATCAGTACTGCAAAAATCAGTCAACAATGGCACATTACATGTAAATCAATCATTACTTGAAATCTTTTTTTTTTTTTAGAATCCTAGTACATTATTTTCAAAAGTTTGATTTTCTTGAAATATTTCAAATTATCTGAGGGCATGGAGCTTTAACCTGCTTGAACCAAAAGTACCAAGCCCTTTGCCATCAGTAAAGAGCCTGGCCAGTATGCACATCTGTGGCAGCTCAATTTTTGTACTGGTTTGTTTTTTCATTACTAGTGTGTTCCACATTAAATGGACTGTTCCAAGTTCAAAGTACACAAATTCAGCAAGTTAAGGGATATCTGTATAAAAGTACTGAAATCAATGTCAAACCGAATAATTAGGCAAGTTAGGTAAATCATATAAACTAACCTGTCTCAATATGGCTGACATAGAAAAGGTTTCACAACTGCTACTATTCCAACAGTTAATTAAATGAAATCTCAAATGTCTTATTATTATCATTAATGTATAATGACATGGACCAATGATAAATGAAACTAATTTCATTCATTTCTATTTGTTAATTTTCTTGCAAATAAAATGACCTTCTGACCACTGATGGAAACAAAACATAGGTTTGAATACATTTTATTCCATAATATTAATACTTAGACACTCTGGCTGAATTTGTTTTTATAATAAATATTAATTTTTGAGCATCTGACTTGAAAAGAAAATTGAACAATTTATCATTTTTGAAATGATTTTTTACTGGCAACAGCACTAATGTATTTCCCAAGATAATGGTGATTTAATGATAATTTAAATTAATTGTTTTAGGTGGTCACATTCATATAACTGTGTTAAACATATAGTGAATATTGTAATTCTTATTTCAGGATAATGACTTTGTTCTGACATTCAGAATGATTGGCGAAAAACTCTACATTTGATGGAAATACAAGCCAAAGTGTATTAGGTGAAGAAGTAGATCAATTCCACCTGAGGAATACCTATGAAAATGTTTTGCCATTTGTTCCTTATCATTATTATGCTGACATCCATATTCGGAAATGGAGCTGTAATAGCAGTAATCTGCCTGAACAGACACAATGCGGAAAGAAGTTTCAAATCTTCTTTATTGTCAACCTAAGTGTCACGGATCTACCAACCACTTTACTTGTTATGCTGAGTGCCTCGTTGGCTTTGATAACGGACGAATGGATATTTGGACGACATTGGTGTGATTTCATCTGTGCTACTAACTACTGCTTGATCATTGTTTCAATGTTAACACTTTGCTGTATCAGCATAGATCGTTACCATGCCGTCATGCATCCTTTATCCTACCCTTTATTCGTCACTAGAAAGAGGATGGTGATGGTCATTGCCTTTACATGGATTCAAGGGATTACATTTGGAATAGCTCCATCTATAGCAGGATGGGTGGCATTTGATTACTGGGAAGCTATATGTGCCATACAATGGCATAATTACAGACCGGACTCCATCATTTACGTCGTACTTGCTTTTCTCCTTTGCTTTCTCATACCTGGAATTGTACTGATCTACTGCTACTCAAAGATTCTACAGGAAGTGAAAAAACAAAAAGCTCAGGTGGCAATTAACACAACAGGAGATTCCAGGGCGCATGAGAAAAATAAGCGCAAAGTCTCAGATCGCTCAAAAATTGTATGGAGTTTACTTGTGGTTGTTTTCGCATATTTCGTTTGTACAACTCCTTTTAGTGTGACTAAGTTAATTAAAGTGTTAGCAAATGGTAAGGATCCCATTCCTGGACCAGTGAATCTCTTATCTGCACTTTTAGGGTACGTAGCCAGTGCAATCAACCCACTCATTTACGGAATCTTCCGGAGAGATTTCAGGACAGCATATAAACACTTACTCTACTCTGTTTTTCTGCATGAAAAGTTCCCAGACAAATTTTCCTCAGATACACGCAGCCAAACTGGGAACGGGACTATATCTCATGCAAACAACCTTACAATAAATCACGAGCATGACAACCAGATAGCGACACTTGAACATGCACTGGAGGAGTTACGTAATTCCTCAATGTTACCAAAGAGCCATGAATGTTCGCCAAAAAATGTCAGATTTTTACCAAGTGTGGAGGTCAAATCACCAACATTTGGTAAAGACACATGCTTTACTGAGTTAAACTCTGAAAAGCCTCACCTAAATGCTGTTGGTCACAATATAGAGAACGGTAAAAGAGCATCGAGTGCTCTTTCCTGCAAACATGTCATGGTAAAATCTGTAAATGGATCCACAGATATTGAAGAACCATAGTGAATATATATCAGGGAAATATCAGCAAGAAAACCGTAACAAATATAACCAGTGCTGCCGGTCCCTAGATAAGTGAACTATCTGAATAAAATCAAACTTTAGAAAAATATGTTCCAAGAGTTTAAGAAGCATACAAAATTTAATATTTACAATACATTTTACAGCCCTTTGTAATTAATATTAATGACTTTACTATTTCTTTTACCAAACCTCTACCCTGTTTAAATAAAAGAGTTAATTGGTCATATTTTAGGGCTATTTTTGATCTGTAGTTTGATGCAATTTATGTAACATATTCTTGGCTCAACATGCCTTATGTAAGCTTTAACTATATACTTTGTCAATAATTTCACAGTATTTTAGCATTCAAAAGCCAACTTGAGTACTTCACTTATTAAGTTGTCTTATGTTTAACATGAAGGCATGGCATTAATAAAGGGCACATTTTAATCGCATTGATCGAAAAAAACATTTTCTAAAAATTTGACCTCAAAAATGGTATAAATCTGTTTTAATTGCTTACTTATTTGTGATATCTAGAGGGAATATTTACTGTTTCTGTGGCGGGAATGAATAAGTCAAGATCAAAACATCTCATTAGTACATTTATTATATAACAAGAAAGCCTCTGCAGCCATTTAAAAAGTTAGGGAAACAAGAAGGAAAAAAACAAAGCACAGGATGTGTAGTAAGACAGAAAACAGTAGGTGGAAATAAATCAACCATTTCCAATATGGAGACTAAATTAGATTTGGTGGACTTTGGTGTCACATTCAGGTCATTTTACATTGTGTTAAAGATATGTTGAAAAATGTTTTAAAATATTTGATATCTTTAAGTCAGGGATGAAATTTTCTATGTAAAAAAGTGGTATAAACTTTAAATAATTATAATAGAGGTATGCTACATGCCCAAAGAGAATATTTCATGGTGCTATACTAGTATATAATAAAATCTTTGTGCGACACACTTTGACCTTGAACTTTTAGGAGAACAAGTGGCACAAGTGATGAACCTTTGCCAACAGTATAAAGCCAGGTCAGCCTGCACATCCTGTAGTCTGACCTTACTTTATACTGTTGACTGCCTTCACATTTTAATCTTGATATCCCTAAAGTTGACAATGGACTGTCCCAAAACTGGAAGCTGGACAAGTTCATTAAGTTTTACAAGATAAGCAACATTTATTTACAGGTAATTGTAAACTATTGTTCTTTTGGCAGATAAGAAATAAAAATTTATATTTTAAGCTGCAGGTCACTATGACCTTGACCTCTTGACCCTTACTACAATTACATTCCGAAGGTCTTTTCCTTAATTCTAATGTTAACTCTGTTACCTAGATTCTGTAACTGCATATCATATTATTTTAGTTCCAAGGACTATAAAGTGATTTTCAACTAAAAAATTTAACAAATAATTTGGATCTAAAATAGGTGCAAGGTCAGTAAACAAGATGCAAGGTCAAGAAACTTATTCTTTGTAAAGTATATGCAGATAGAACTAATCTTGAGAAAGTGGCAACAACAGATAAAAACACTCAAACGACGCCTTTAATGACATGTGGATAGTTGTAATTAATATATTGCATGTGCATACTTAATCTTCAACTCAAATGAGAATATAATGTTTATAGTTTATACAGCAACATGCTTATCACCATCCCTGTACATTATCTACAATTCTTGCAATATGTAACAACTTCAGATAACTGATGATATTGATCTCCCAACATTTTGCTCAGAAATGTTTCTATTCAACTGTAAACTGGTTGTTATATTATTTATTTTTTTCAATAGTGCTATGTTTTTTGTTGTTGTTATCCCAGACAACCCTGAAGAGGTTGTGATCTAAAGAACAAGTTGTTTTTTATTGTTTGTGCTTTCATGACTATTTTTGTTATATTTTGTATAATAAATGTAATTACTGAAAAGAACTGTCTTGGGTTTGTTTATAATATTGTTTAATGGTAACTACACCGACAAAAAGTACACATAACAGGAAAATTAAATGATTACGTCCCCTTTCTCTATAATATAGCAGAGCCAGAAAAAAATGATTATCCCCCTTGCCTTTTATAATTATCAAGCAAACTGTTACAGAAATAATTTAATTATTACTATACAGTTATGCAAAAAGGAAATAAAAATGATTTTAACTATTCCTTCTCATAAGTCCTGTAAACAATGCAAAAACCTAACTATTATTTACTCCTTTTTTTCATATATTAATGAAACCATGTCAGAACAATACAACAATTACCTCCCTTTATAACTATAACAATGCAAACACGGTCAAAAACATTCACTTATTACTTCCCTTGCCTAAAAAGTAGTGCAGACAATGCCAGAAACGGTTCACTGATTACTTCCCTTGTCTTTTATAGTAATGCAAACAATGCCAGAGAAAACAATTCTATGATTACCTCCCCTTTTTCTATCGTCATCCCCTGTCCTCTGTAAGTGTAAGCAGCTTTCACTTGCGGTATTTTACGAGTTTCTACATAATCTTGTAACACTTCCTTCTCATGTATCTGCAATGAAATCATTATGCAGCCATATCAAATTAACATTCAAATTTTCAAATTTTATTATCAATGGTTATGCATAAACAATTATACAATATGTGTTCCCCTGTATATGATAAAGAACTCATAATAAATATCATCATTATTATTTTTTGCAAGCAAACCAAATTTCATCCTGCTTAAGATCAAAGTTTTAAGGAATGTATAAATGTTTGGGTTTTTTTATATACAATTTGATAAAATAATTTCATATCAAGGTCAACCATAAAATTTGTATGAAGTTAGCACATGCAATATTTAAACAGAAAAAAAAAATGCTTTCAGTTTTGCAAGTAAACAAAACAATCTTTGTATGTTAAATTTAAGTGTATGCCACATTAAACTTGTTCAAATGAACTGTAACAGACTGTGTTTACCGCCCCTAGGGATGACACTCCTATTGATATGATGATGATCAAGCTGTTGACCATTTTACTACATCTGGCACATTAAACAAGGGAGACAATTCTTTCAAAAATCTTACCCTCACAGACAATATGATTCAATCAAGAGAGTTGTCTTTTCTTTGATACTTTTAATAATTATCCAGTCTACACTTAACCCTAAGAAAGTTATTTTTCTCATTAATTATCCCTCTAATAACAAGCAGATGATGAATATCTATGCAATTTTTGTATTTTAATAACAAACCCCTTAAACTTGGAATGGAATGTTCCAAATTCAAATCAGGGCAAATTTATAACACAAATTCATCTGATTAAGTGTTTGAAAGATGTAAATATATAACATCTAGGATTACCTCTTCAACATCAATCTCATGAGGTCTTTCAACAACTTCATCTTCATACATTTCATCATCTGACTTCTGTCCATTCTCAGCTGGTTTAAACTTTTCGAGACTTATCTGAAATAAGAATAATGAATAGTGTGCTGAAATTTTTTTTGTGATATTCACCTTTGAAATATAAGTTCACTTGAAAGATGTTTTAAAGACAGTATCAAAAGCAAATTAAACAAAGATCAGTATAACTATGTTACATTAATTTTATTTACTATTCAGTCAGCATTTATTTTGAAATTTTTCCTATAAACGATGAATGGCATTGTCTAGCTTGAAAGATGGTCAAGTAAATTTTTAGTTATTTACCACGGTCAAGGTTCAGCAGGTAATGCAAGGTATCAGAACATACTTGAGGCATTTGAGGTAAAAATTTCAACAGAATGATGCAATTTCTTTTCATCACTCTGTTCTAAAATTTACTACAAAATGCTGAGTCTGTTTTGCAGATCACCCTAAAAGAGGTTAACTTACATTATGTTCACTGGCAGCCTTTGTCATTAGTTGAGCAAGTTCATCGAGTCTCTTAATCTCACTACCAAATGTTTTGATCTCACCCTCCAGTCTGTTGTGTCGGGACAGTAAAGTCTGAGCACTGCCCTCGTCCTTACCATAATCATCACTTGTTACCAGTGGCATCTTCTCCTTCATCCAAGATTCTGCTTCATTAGCATCAGCATAATACTGTAAACAATGTCAACATAATACTGAAAACAATGTCAACATGATACTGAAAACAATGTCAACATACTGAAAACAATGTCAACATAATACTGAAAACAATGTCAACTTAATACTGAAAACAATGTCAACATACTGAAAACAATGTCAACATACTGAAAACAATGTCAACATACTGAAAACAATGTCAACATAATACTGAAAACAATGTCAACTTAATACTGAAAACAATGTCAACTTAATACTGAAAACAATGTCAACATACTGAAAACAATGTCAACATAATACTGAAGACCAACAGTGACATCATAATAGGGTGCTGTACCCTCAAAATTGCATAATAACATTTCTTTCCTGATTTTGATAATCATGTTCAACATTTCAATTCAAAAGTTATTTTAAATTCCTCTATCAAAGGACAGAGTAATTGTCCTAAAAACCGCTTTTACCATTGACCTAAAATGCTTAGTGTCACCACAATGTACATAGTAATAACATGCTAATTTCCCTAAAATCACTTTAGATGGCCTGTAGACTTACTTATTACAAATTTTATCATGACATCCCAAAAATTGATCATGTACAAACATTGCACAAATTTAGTAGGTTAAGGGTTAAACAGAGGTAAAATTTATTTTTTACAAAGGTAGACAACTTTTACCTGGTGAGCTTCAATGCCATCCTCTAGTTTAGTTCTCCTTGTAGCTGCCAGTTCTTGAAGCTGTTTCCATTTATCCATCAAGGATTTGATACGGGAGCCAATCTCTGATCGAGCACTGTGTCCCGTGTTCACCAAGTCCTGGCCTTTACCACACACCTGTTCACATACTGGGAACCGGCCTGCCATTTCAGCTTCAACTTGCTGTAAATTTAAAATTTCATCATTTTCTTAATTAATGTTGTTGTTTTTTCAAGTTAAAATATTCAAGTCAAACAATAATAAGGTGCAAAAGATCCAAAGGAAGGGGTTTTTTTTAACAAATGATACATTTTTCTTATTTTGTACAGAGTTTCATTCAATATTCATAATGAAATATGATTTTAGTTGAAAATTTTGGATGTGTGAAAGATTTTTTTTCAAAAGGAATGACATAGATTTAGATAGCCTGAATGCAGTAATCTTGATTATTTCCAATAAAATAACATCATTAACACCAAATCCTCCATACCTCATGCCGTTTAAGAAGAACACATGCGGCATTGAGATCTTTGCCAATATCTGTCTGTTTTACAATCCCTATCTTTTCTAGCACCCATCTTTCCTCTTCCTCTGAGTCTTGTAAAAACTGAAAATATGCCTTCGCTACTTCAAGGTTCTTCTTACGCTTTGTGCTTAAATTGTTCACCCTGAAAGTAAAATAATCAAGAATGCTTTAATAGTTTCATACAAAGATTCTTCTAAAGCTCTACTTTTAAAGTTAGGAACATAGGGAAAGAAATCCAGTCTTTTGAGATTCTGGAATGGATATATGTCATTAAACATTTTAAAGGTTATACGGCATGATCAGCTTTCAAGCATTACTATTTGAAGAAAACCTCGGCCATAAGAGAGCACCGGAGTAGCGCTACTGGTCTTCCTAAAATTAGCTGAATTGCTTTCGTATAACAAAGGATTGAAGGTCTCTTGATTGTTTCAAACCTACAGCAGTGCACCACAACCTCTCAGCCTCAGAAGCCCATTTATGAAGCAAGTCCATCTAAATTTGAAATATTTTCACAGAAAAAAATAATGCTTTAGTTGTATATAATCCCCAAACCACTGTAACCCATCCTAATTTCTAACAATAAATTAACATCAATATTGTTAATATCTGCTTAATAACAACACCCAACGCTATTTCTATGGAAACTGACGGTACTGCTTACTTTTCTAATTCTGAATTGAGAGTATCTAATCTTTGATCAAGGACTTTCATCTCTGGATGGTTTGGATCTGCGTATGATTTTGACCGTCTGTTGAGATTCCGAACTCGTTTGGCAAGAGAATGGAGTTGTGATTCCTGTAGACTATGTTGCTGTAGGTACTCCTCCACCGCCAGCAGGTGCTTCCCACAATCCTCTAACTTCACCTTATTCTAAACATGAAAAATTCAGATACAGAATTATCAAGAATTTAAATATCGAGCAACTTAAAAATTCAGTTGAATTATTTAAAGTTCATTTACTGAGCAACCAACATTCAATTCTCAAGCTAACAAAAATTCAGTTATTGAACTATCAAAAATTCAACTCAAAAATTCAACTATGAAGATGTCTTGTTTGTTTGTTTCATTTTACACCTTTTTCCAACAGTATTTCAGTCATATAGGCGGGTAGTTTCCTAACCATCGTACCTGGAGAGTTACACCAGTACTAGACTACCTTCCTCCGCGCTAAACTACCAAAGCATCTCCCAGGGATCGAACCCACGCCAGAGAGGTAACTGGATTAGAAGTCATCGACTCTAACCCCTCGACCACGGAGGCGGTATGAAGATGTCACAATTCATTTATTGAGCTTGAAAATTTCCGAGTTATTAAAATCAAAGACTGTCAATAAACCAATTATAATGATTAACTAAAAATGTTTTGAATTGTAAAATTTAAGATAAATACAATATAGGAGACGTTTTAACTATGTTTGATAATCAATTTTGCATTTTCACATGCAATCATATTTTGGGTACTGGTACATGTAATCTGTTCTAAGACAAAATAAATTTGAACATTTCATCCATTTCAAATGGTTTAAGACTGATCTTTTCATCCAGTGTTATTTCCTATTCACTTTGAAACTTGACAAAAATATAAATACCTCCACTTCTTTCAACTCTTCTTGTATAGTTTCAATTTCTCTGAACATTGCCATTAAATTATTAAATCCTGCTAGTGTAAGTTTCCTCTGTTCTAATTTGTCCAACAGCTCCTGCCATTTCAGTCTAATATAGTCATCTCTAAAAGTATAAAACAATTTCATAGTTTGTCCTAGGTTTTTATTTGTTTGCTTTCCTGGATAACTCACCAGCAATTACCAATTATTCTTCAAGTGAATAACTATAATCTTACATGATTTCTGAATAAGTGGTGAACAACAAATGACTGTTAAATTCAATGTCCATGATAAATTATCACAAAGAAATTTTGCCATGCCAAAGGGATCCAACCAGAGACCTATTGATTTTAGCTGACAGTTGAAACTAAGGGATGCATTCTGATGTTGATATGACACATCTTATTGTCAGGGAAAGCAAAAAAATCTATTTTAGCCTAGTGACCTTGAGCTTTATCCAATTATTATTTGTTTTTCTAGTTAATCAAACCATATCATCTTTCCTGGATAGCTTACTAGTGAATACCAATTTCTCTGCAAAAGTGACCGACTACTTATCCAACATGACTATTAGACGCAATGACCTAGATCAACCGTCACCAGAGGATGGAGCCAGCAATCTTTGGGGTGACTAATCTGATACTCCCTATAATGAGCTAGAGGGGTGGATCAATTAATTTGAAACCCCACTAAACACACCAGACATGTGTACGCCGTGTAACGCCTTTGAAACCTCACAACATTTTAGGGACAGTCCGGCACAAACGTATAAATCCACGTATATTCTGAAAATAGACAAAGACTATCTAAAACTGTGTCTTACTTTTTCTGTACTGCTGCCTTCTGATGATAATTTCCTTGAACCAGTTCTACAGCTAATGTATTTAATGCCTTGTATCTGTCTTTCTATAAATAAAACATATAAAATATGTACTTTAATCTGCAATACAACAATTGGTAAATCAGTGTACTTGATTTCATCAAATCTGCCAAATTTTTACTCCTTTCTACATTGTATTTGTGTAGAAAATGTTATCTAAAATGATGTACAGTTCTAAGTAAAATTTCTATTCCATTCTAAAGACACATAATTATTTAGTATTTGACAGAAATTTTAGAAAAATAAATCATGTTTTACTACCACTACAATTGAAGGAATTAAAATATATTTAATTTGAAACAAAGTAATATGTGCTCATTAAACATGATCTCCAACCTCATTAATGGCCTCAAAGAAAGTTAACAGTATAAATGGATGAATTAGAACATCTTTAAATTCTCAGTCCTGGTTGACTAGAAACCACACAAGAAATTCTCAGTACATCCTGAATGGAAACCATATGTGAAAATCTCAGAACTTGTTAAATGAATATCATAGATGAAAATATTAGGTATAGTGAAGTAGAAATTTCATTCAAAACTATCAGTACTGGTTGAACGGGAACAAACATACGATTTCTTTTATTTGATACATCTCATAGCATGTCTATTTTTACTTGATCATCATCCTTTTTCAGCTGAAAAAGCTAAAGGAAGATGGCAGAAATATGACGCTAACAACTTAAAATACCTCAATTTGAATTACATTTCTACCTAGATTATCATACTTACTCTGGCAAGAATTTCAGCGCTAATTGCTTCATGTTTTTTAATGGCTGCCTCAGCTTGTGCTGCATTGTTACAAACCATTTTTTCATCCAATATTTGCATCATGTCCATCAACCATGACTCTCGGATTTCAGCCTGAAAATTAATGAAATACAAACCACTTCTAAATGATGATATAATAAAATTTTAATTATTTTTATCAGTCCTACCATTTATTAGAGACATAACGATAGATTTTTTTCCTGATGTGTGCTTATTAAGTAAGTGGTAATGTCATAAATGAGATAAAGTCATATATCACTTAACTATATATAACTAATGTGCTTTATATATGTTTTAACATCTGAGGTTTAATTTTGAAGCCTGAAAAACAAATGATCTGCAGCAATTTATCAAAACTCTCCAAATAAACTGCATAAAAATAGAAATATCATAAACAATAGATCTAGGAGTCAATTTATTTACCTTTCTTCTAAATCTCTGTGCTAGCTGTTCTAATCTTTCTTGTCTGCAAAATGAAGATTACAGTATTTAAATTCTAAGCCTTTGATTGTAATTTTTCTTATATTAAACAATTTTTAAAACTCATTCATGTGCATTATATTCAATGTCAGACACCTTTCTAAAATTCATTTATTATGAGGTATAAAATCAAGTTTATAATCAATTTGCTTTTTTCTTAGTTGTTTTTACAATTAAAACTACATAATTTATCAGCAAAAACTTTATAACTATTATAAACAAACAATATCTGATTGTACCAAAACTGGGCAGGTACAAGAGCAATACTATGTCATTTTCAGTCTGTGGTAGTTACTCCCCTTTGAATGTAAAACAGTAATAAGATAAAATTTCATTTTAACAAAAAATACCTCAAAATAAGATGAGCTAATTTAACAAGTCTTATACAAATTCAAACATAGCCTTTTTAGTAAAAACTAAGTAGACATGTGGTGTATCTAACAGTACCTGATTAATTCATCTCGGAGTGAAGTTTCTCGGATGTGTTCTGATTTCTCTAGCCTCATCCAGGCACTTTCTATGTCATGAATAAGGAAGCCTTCAGGGGGATTGTATAATTTCTGTCCATTGGCTTTTAATCTGGCCTGTATGTTGAAAAATGTTGCTTCTATGTTGCCTTTCTCTCGTAACCTGAAACAAATGAAAGGGCAATATCTAAGAAACATTCTGCAAACAAAAGTCAATCTTGTAAATACTACAAGCAAGTTCCACAGAAAACAACAACAAAACTTATTCAATAAAGTATTAAATTATAAAACATTGTTCTTGAATTAGGAGATTTCACAATGATTTGCAAAAACATATTGCCAGTTCTAATGAAATTTACAATGCTGAATATAATAGTCATAGAAATTAGGTTTAATATTTAAAACCAAGAAGGGCTATTTACTAAGCAATTTCACTGACTATTGAGAATTTTACTTACTAGCCACTGAAAAAAATCTTCTAGGTTTTCTTTTTTTTAAGGAGTTATTTTTGCTGTCAGTCTAGTGCTAGATTTTATCAGTTTAACTGACAAGAAGACTCCAAGAGTCCCTTTATGCTATATTAATAAGCAAAGGTGTTGACACACAGCAAAGTAGGAATGTAACTGAACAACCTAGATCAAAAATTCATACGATATAAAGATAAAACTTATCTTACTTTGGTGGTTTTTCTACAGTTCTGTACTCTTTGAAAGAGATTAGTTCCTTCTGTATACCCTCTAGTGAGTTTGGAAAGTTTCTGTCATTAAGAGTTACTATTTTAGCTTTGATCCACTCCAGTAGAACAGTTGTAAGGCTCTCATAGTCATCTACCATCTTCTCTAGCTCTAACATTGAACCAACAATCTAAAATAATAGTAACCTCTTATAATAAAACACTTACAATAGCTTTTGACACCATTATTTACAATATTTATTTATCATTAGAAGAACTTTTCTGTAACACCAATTGGACAAAACGGTCCTATTACAACATATATTTTCTAAAATATATCTGCATTTGGTAAATAAAAATAGTAGTAATATAACATATAACTGAGAGCAAGCAAAAATAATTGAGATGCCCTTAAATTTTCTGACATGTTGAAATTGTAAAGCCTACCCGCATGTCACCCACAGTTGAAAAAAATTCTTTCCTCATATTTATCATCCCTATGGTTCAAACATTTCACCTAAAGATCTTAGAAACAAACAAAATTTTATGGTCAATCTAAGAATGCTGCAAGTTTTTACCACAAAAAGACCAAATATGATCTCAGAAATTAACAAGAGCACTGCATGCAGTGTTAACACTGGTCTGATAAAAATTCTTAGTTAAAAAGGGGCATGAATTCAAATATATTGCTTTCAGAAACATTCAAGGCAATGATTTATAAGTTAAACCCTGGGGCAAAAATCAGTTTTATCATTTGTCTCCATGGTTACCTTGGCAATTCTTTTTCCTCCAGTCATCTCACTCTTCATCTTGGCAAAATAATGATAGTAGGAAGCCACATAGGTTACAATAATCTTCTCATCCGGCTTTGGTACATCAACATCTGCAATTAATTATAGACTCTATATTATATGCTAGAAAAACTAACAATGGACTTTCACCATATGGTTTTATAAAGTGAGAGGCTGAGTGGTTAACGTTGTTGGCTTTTAAATCACTTTCCGCGCACCGCGGTGTGTTTGAACCTTGTCAAGAACTTTAAATTATTTCGTGTATAAAAACTATCCAGATAGTTTATGAAAGGGAAAGTGTGTGTAAATTCATTTTCATTGTATAATATTACATGATGATTCAGTAAAATTTACATATCAAATAATATAAAAAAAATAAAACATGAAACCTGTTGGTATATTTTATAATGTTTGCAAACCACTATTGTTACGGCTGTTATTCAATTTGAAGAAACTTTAATTTCATGTGGAGTTAAACTTGTCAATTATTAAAATGTCAGACAAGAAATACTTCTATTTGATCAACACAGAATTTTAACATTTCAAGCCATTTAAAGATAAACCCTTTTGTTTTTAGTCATTTAAAATTGATTTATTTAAAACTTTAACTTTGCTGTTTTAAAATGAAATTCACTATATATAACTATAGACAGTTCTAAATTCAAAGCAGTAAAAATCCATTTAATAAAATTAACAGAATATAAAACAAGCATACTAGGAAGAACAAATCTCAATTGCCAGGGCCATCCATAAAGTTAAATATCTATTGCAGAGCTGTTCATAAAATATCTACTCCAGGGTCGTTTATAAACTATCTATTACAGGGACGTTCATAAACTTTCTATTCCAGGGCCATTCATAAACTATCTATTCCAGGGCTGTTCATAAACCATCTATTCCAGGGCCATTCACAAACTATTCCAGGGCCGATCATAAACTATCTGCTACAGGGCCGTTCAAAAACTATCTATTACAAGACCATTCATAAACCATCTATTACAGGGCTGTTCACAGGGTTGTTCATAACTATCTATTACAGGGCTGTTCATAAATTATCAATACCAGGGCTGTTCATATACTATCTATTCCAGGGCAGTTCATAACCTATCTATTTAAGGGTCACTCATGCACTATCTATTCCAGGGCAATTCATAAACTATCTATTTCTTATAGGAGTTAAAAGTTTTGGGTCCGATTAAACCTTTATTGGGATATGGAGTAAATTTTACCTTCAGCATCAAGAATCTTGTGGATTCCAAGTTTATCATCAGCTACATTAAAGGCATTGTTCAAATTGCCAATGTGATCTGCTGGGTCTAGGTGTTCATATGCTATCAGGTCTGGTCTAAAATTTTGTAACACATAATTTTAAACATTTTATAACATGAACAGGTTTTTTTTAAAAAACATTTTATAACATGAACAGGATTTTTTAAACATTTTACAACATGAACAGAATTTTTTTTTAAAAAAATTATAACATGAACAGGATTTTTTAAACACTTTATAACAAGAACAGGATTTTTTAAACATTTTATACCCATTAAACATTTTATAAGAGTAACATGATTTTAAACATTTTATAACAAGAACATGATTTTTTTTAATTTTATAACATAAATAGGATTTTTTTACATTTATAACATGAACAGGATTTTTTTTAAACATTTCATTCCCATGAACATGATTTTTTAAACAATTTATAACATGAACAGGATTTTCCAAACATTTAATAACATGAATAGGATTTTCCAAACATTTTATAACATGAACAGGTTTTTTTTAAACATTTTTAACAAGAACAAAATTTTAAACATTTATAACACACAGGATTTCAAACACTTAATCGTAAGCAATAGTTTTACCTATGTGCGTGTATAAGAGCATTGAATCCAAGTCCATTTCTCCAACTACTTGTGAAGTTTTTAATGTCTACCCCTGGATACCTACAACATTAAATATATACAAAGTTCATTAATTGTAACTATACATACTATGTATTTATACTGTAATTAATTATTCTAAAGAAGGAATAAAAACAGAAAGTAAAATCTTAAAGTCTAAAAGTTTTGTTACAAAGCACAAACTACCAAAAAAAATACAACAGAACAAATTAATACAATAAAAAAACTAAACATTTTAAAACACTAACTTAAACTATAATTGTGAAACTATTGTGTTTTTTTCTCATTTCTTACAGCATGCAGATTATAGATAGGTACAGGGCACTGGCAGATGTAAAGCAACATGTAAGGGAATAAGGAATATACAATTTCTGTAAAACAAATAAAATATTCCATTCATTTGACATTTTTGATGTTTGGTTAACTTGTTTAGCTTCATTTTTTTTGTTCCTGCATTTAAAAGGTATGCAAGGCATTTAGGAGCAACCTAAATTCCTTTATGAAACGTTAGCTTGTGTTATCTGGGGTGCCTGCTGACTGACTGCTTTAAGACAGATAACCTGGATTCTTCAAAGTATTTAACCCTGGCAAGAAGTATCAACTTAATGTCACTTCATCAAGCCACTAGTACACATAAAACAGGAGTACAGATTGAAGGAGAGATAAAAACATGCAGATGGATGATTGATAAAATGTATTGACAATGTCATAGTTATATCCTTCTTTCTTATAACAGGGAATGAAGATGATGAATAATAATATACACGAAAATCAAACATATGTGTGGACAAACAAATCTCATACATAATGACTGGTGATTAAAATACAGAGTAAATTCAAAATGTCATCCATAATAACTGGTGTTTAAAATACAGAGTAAAATATAACAACTGGTGAGTATACATAACAATTGGTGGTTAAGTCAAAGTGAAATCAAGTTCAGTGAATTACTTATTTGTCTTTTTTATTGGGTTTTATGTCACACCAACCCTATAAAGGTTATATGGTAACTTTTTATCTTTGTTAATGAATAAAGACCCAAGTTTAGTTCTCCAAGCACTATTTCAGTCATGCGCAGACTCCTAAGTAGAACCACAGACCTTCCATAATATACCGTATTGTTTCTATTTATAGCCCCCCTTCTAATTAGCGCCCCCTGGGTGAAAAATGGAAAAAAAAATTCTTGGTAGCAGCTTGATAGCTTCCTAGTATTAGTATGTAACCAGCAGGATTCGAACCAAAACTAGAAATGTGTCCATAGGACACGGATGCCCCCACACGCCTGCACTATTCTGTCAATCTTATGACTCTAGGTCAAATATTTTTTGGACTACCTGTGCCACAAGTTGAAAACTAAAAATCAACAAAGGACCACAATTCTGTTAAATTTGGTCGCAGCAAAAATTCCTTCCTTTACTACCATCTACACATAAAGGTTTTTAATCCCTGAAAGTTTAAGCAAAATCTGCCATCCGGTTGAAGAGGAGTTGCGTTCACAAAATTTCAACATAGTATATAGTGATAATCAAAAAAGGGCCATAATTCTGTTAAATTTGGTTGCAGCTAAAAAGTCCTTCCTTTACTAGCATCTACACATTAAGGTTGTTCATCCCTGGAAGTTTAAGCAAAATCTGCCATCCGGTTTAAGAGGAGTTGCGTTCACAAAATTTCTACATTGTATATAGTGAAAAAATCAACAAAGGGCCATAATTCTGTTAAATTTGGTTGCAGCGAAAATTCCTTCCTTTACTACCATCTTCACATTAAGGTTGTTCATCCCTGGAAGTTTAAGTAAAATCTGCCATCCGGTTTAAGAGGAGTTGCGTTCACAAAATTTCTACATAGTATATAGTGAAAAAATTAACAAAGGGCCATAATTCTGTTAAATTTGGTCGCAGCAAAAATTCCTTCCTTTACTACCATCTTCACATTAAGGTTGTTCATCCCTGTAAGTTTAAGCAAAATCTGCCATCCGGTTTAAGAGGAGTTGCGTTCACAAAATTTCTACTTAGTACATAGTGAAAAAATCAACAAAGGGCCATAATTCTGTTAAATGTGGTCGCAGCGAAAATTCCTTCCTTTACTACCATCTTCACATTAAGGTTGTTCATCCCTGTAAGTTTAAGCAAAATCTGCCATCGGTTTTAAGAGGAGTTGCGTTCACAAAAATTCTACATAGTATATAGTGAAAAAATCAACAAAGGGCCATAATTCTCTTAAATTTGGTCGCAGCGAAAAATCCTTCCTTTACTACCATCTACACATTAAGGTTGTTCATCCCTGTAAGTTTAAGCAAAATCTGCCATCCAGTTTAAGAGGAGTTGTGTTCACAAGATTTCGGGACGTACGGACTGACGGACGGACGGACGGACGGACAAGTGCAACGCTATATGCTCCCACATTGTGGGGGCATAAAAAGGAAACCTGCAAATGAAATTTTAAGTCAGCATCGTCAGTGACCACTCAGCTGCCAGAAGCCCTTTACTGACTGGTATACAAATTTTTTTGGAAAACGGTTCAAAATACTGTTAAACGACTACAATTCTATAAATTTGCCTCATTATGTAAATAAATACATGCTGGCTAATAAGTTCCAGATGTAGACAAACTGGTAAAAAGATAATCTGGAAAAGGGATTTTTGTTTGACGTTACCCTCTTATTCTTTCAGCAGAAAACCTGAGTACATAATCAAGTTATTGACTATTTTATTACTCTGCTACCTTTATAAGTAAATATTGTTCTTTTGACAGGGGTGGGAGTGTTATGGTGGGAGGAGTAATAATACTTAAAGGAAAAAATTTGTTTATGAAACTCTTGGTTTCATTACAATTGGTAAACATTTCTGACATATAAATTTCTTTCTGAAATTTAATAAGCGATTTGATATCTTTATGAAGATAAGTAAGGTTTCCTTTACATTATTAAGCATGCAAAGGTTTCTTTTAAGATATTTAGCATGCAGTATTACATGTTATACAACACTAAACAGCAATAAGCAGGTGGTTAACAGTTATATAACATGTTATAATAATTAACCCTTAACCTGCTACATTTATATAATAGATTCTCCCTGCTTTAAATATTTGGCACAGTCCATTTAAAGTTGAAAGAATTTCAATCTAAAAATACCAAAATTGAGCTACCACACTATAGAGCCTAGTCAGACTGCATGGAAGCGCAGGCTGACCTGGTTATAACCTGGTGGCACAGGCTAATCACTTTCCATTCTAGCAGGTTAAGGGTTAAAAATAGTTTGGAAGGGTACTTTATATAAGATATCAATGGTGAAATAGAATTCCATTACCGTCTGTTATTTTTTTGTCAATAATAAATAGTATTATCAAAATTAGTATGCATGAACATGTACTACATAATTGTTTTCAAGATTAGTACTTCATTAATAGATAAATATGTAATTAATATGTAAATTATTTCTAACAAAAATATTATCTGCATTTTATCATGTTAGATCTTGTAATTATATTAAACAGCATGCATGTATTAATCATAATACATTTCCGTAAAGCAAATATTTACAATATCTTAATTCACTTAAGTTTGTACAGTTAATCATAATTTTCAAGAAAACAAAAATTAATTTATTAAAGAGCCAATGTTTGTCAACACAAGATCTATCACTTTTCTAATTTTTTTAAAGCTGCATGCCTCCCGATAAGCCAAACTATTTCAAGAAAATCAAATTTGACCAAAAAAAAAAAATATCACATTCTGACAGATTTTACGAAAAGTGAAACTATTTAAGATTCATTAAAATGTTAGTTCATAACGAATATGAGGCAGACATCTTTTGTTTTGAGGCGGACTAATATGCTTTTGAGACAGACACCTCCAAATGTCGACTCGCATTACACGGACATACAATAGAGTGAATTACTTACCCTGCTGTTTTTCTCTGACACCATAGCAACAGTGCATCCTTTGCTGACCTCTTTTCACTACTCTCATCATCTTCATCCTATACAAAACAAAGTAAAGTTTTTATTAATGCTAGCGGTACTGACTTCCCATTTCTACCAGTTCCAGTAGGGCAGGTAACATGATGCTCAAACTTCTTACAACAATCTATCATTAATACAAGCTCTGTTACTATTTTCTTTTGATGAAATGAAGGATGAAGATTGGTTATTACGCAACTTTTCAGCCATTCTCGAGGAAGACAGATCTCAACCAACAGTGGTTTTTCTCATTTAATAGGGAAGAGGCCTTTGCTTTTTGACTTTGGGATAAATTATCCCTAAAAAAGCTGGTGTAAGTTCAGGATTTTAGGGAAAACTGCATGATTTTAGAAAAATTATCCAGTAGGAGGATGCCTTTAATAGGTATCTGTTATATAAGGTGAAATTTCACTGACCAACCATGAAGTGATAATAGTTTATTAACAGACATCTTGGCAGGACAACCAAACTTCTCAATCATGCTCATCATAAAGGATTAGATTTCAACACTAAACTGCATTTGTAGCATCATAATAAAAACAACATACCACTTCAATTTCAATCTCCTGAATCTGAAAGCGAAGAATAATTGTCCATATAAGTCCGAGAATCAGCCGTGGGTTGCCATCCATAATATCTTCTGCTCCGATATTCTCGAAGTAAACCTGCAAGTAAGCATTGTTTTAAAAAGTTACAAAGAACAGGCATTGGGGGACATTTGAGGACATCAGGGAAAAAGTATTAAATGGCATATATAACACTTCAGTGCACCTATTTAAATAAATGTCAAAATTGCTGTTGCACATTGCATGTATTTCAGGCAGAGTTCTGAATAGAAAAGACTTCTTTCAACATCTAATATACATTTTTTGTCAATCATTTCTGTATATTTTGCAATGTTTGGACTCCCTGTCAGTACAAATGTATAAAAGAATGGAAAGTGTGGACCAAAAATGTGCACATGGCAGCTTAAACTGATCTACAGAGATAAGCCCCACATACAGTGACTGTTACTGTATTTTTTACTTTCAAACAATTCCCATACATTCCTCTGTTAGCTATCTATTATTTTTGCAACCTCATTGCACTGCACATTACAATCTGTACAAACAATTCATTTAATATAAACATCGTCAGTGTGTCAAAATTTCGACGCTTTAAATAAAAAACAATTTGAACATGGGTAGGCGTCAAAATTGTAATGTTTCCAAAATACCTATACAGGTAGGAGATAGTGTACACAGTACATTGTTATCAGATTGATTAATATTATGGCTAATGAACTCTCTCAACCCTGTAAAGAGGCAATATTTGGCTTGGCTATGTAGCCAGTATAGAGTCTGGCAAACTTGCTGTCAGACCCAACTGTTCACTATATATAATGTTTGTGCAATATAAGAATTTCTACATTGATACCTTACACTGATAATACAGTGTTCCATATTCAAGAAATGACTATTCAATTAAACAATTTCAGCAGGGTCAAGATTATGTGTTAATTTAGTAACATTGGGAATCTAAGAGTAAACAAGTTAATTAGTAATGCAATATCAACAATGATCAATCATTCATAAGTTGGTCAATACACCAAATCTACCCTACCATGATTGAAGAATACAAAATATTGCATTAACTTGACTTCATAATAGTGTTAGCATGTATCATTTATTCATAATCTAGTTTCAGAAATAGTCGACCAAAACATAATATAATATTGTATCCTTTTTCTCTTCTTTTTATTTATTAGTAACAATTTCATTGAACTAACAAGAAAATAACAAAAACAATTAGCCAAGGACTAAATTCTTCTACACAAGTCAGTATGAAAATATTCGCCAAACAAAAGAATCTCAGGGACAAAAATTAATCGTAAACAGTTAAAAAAAACCTTTATATAGTAATTTGAAATTCACTGATAAGTAAAATTGGCGACAAAGATTATAATCAAGAGCAATGTTGTATCATATTTTTAATCTGATTAATTGTATCTAAATCAATAATACACGCATGCATGTGTGATAAGTAATTTTCAATTAATGAAACTGATACGCCAATTTTATCTTAAATATTTAAATTAAAGAGGGGTTGATTGGGTTTAAAGTCAAACATATATATGAAATGCTGTAAAGTTTCCATTCAGTTTTTTGTAGAAGTACAATTCTATGTATAATGTAAAGCAAATGAAGAAGTCTGATTTTCTTTATTTGGTATACAAGGCTGAGGACAAATGGTGCTCAATTCAGCCTTGATGGTTTCTTTTTGTTTTTGTGTTATTTTTTGTTGTTGTTTTTTTTGGTTGGGTTTTGCATCACATCAACACTGTACAGGTCAGGTATAGGTGACTTTGACTTTCCAGCTTTACTGGTGGAGGAAGACCTCAGGTGCCCCTACGTGCTTTATTTCAGGCAAAAGCAGACACCTAAACAGAACCATTGATGTTCTGTAAGCTAGCTGGATAGCTTATGCACATGAAAGAATCCAAAGTTAATGGCGGGATTTGAATCAACAGAAGTGAGGGGTAAGTAGTTTGAAGTCAACAGCCTATTTGTGAACGATTTCAGTCACAAGTATGCATTTTAGTAGAACCATCAACCTACCATCAGAAAACTTCATAGCTTCCAAAAATAAGAAATTTCAAAACCCTTAGTGGGATTCAAACCGATAACAGAAAAGTGATTGAATATAATAAAATTTAGCCACTTGGCTGTTTGAGGTTAAACAAGTGATGAAATAGTAATTTTCTAAGGTAATGCTTTCCCTGCAGAGTTATGAACACTATAAATTACCTTTGTTCTGAGAAAAGTTAGACATCTGTTAATGTTTTCAGCTTTCTGTACTCTTAATATGCCTTTATTTGGTTTGCCGAGGTTCTCTCCGGATATAATCTCCAACAACTTCATGAGAATCTTTCCATCAGCGAGGTCCTTAAACAGGTCATGAATCTCCAGTCGGGCCTGAAAAAAGAAGAAAATATACATGTATTTTAACACATTACACTATAGTAACAGCTTCTTTTTCTTTTTCACTTTGTTAAGATTGTAAGATTGTTGGATATAAATCAACACTGACCTAGTTACGCAACATTGATTCCAATATTAATGGTGTTATGAGGTATGGGAGTATGCTCTATCAGCACATTGATCAGATTCTGATCAGGCAAGTATCAGGGTGTATCCTGCACATCAAGACACTACTTATTGTCACTAACAATGAAATAACAGAACAGCCTTAAGATACCTACCCTTAGGAATAAATTAATTTAACAAATAGATTCATTTCAATCTGTTTTATTCTAAAACAGTATGACATTTTTAATGCAAGTGTAGACTGACATATATACTTTTTGCGGTTTTCCTTAGATCTTACTTCATAACATTTAATTTTTACAGAAACTCCATTACCCCATAATGATGGTTTCTACATCATGAACTTGGTAATGACAACTTGCACAATAACCCTTAAAATGTCCTCTCATATTTCAGGATGGTATTACCATTAATGTGTCAGTGTGCCATTAGACTAACACAAACAAATCAGAAGCACAGACAGACAGACAGACAGAAATACAAAATACATAATGTACTACCCCATCTACTTCTACATTTGATTAGAGCATGTTTGAAACAGAAAACGTGATTATATTTATGTAATTATATTGATAACATTTATAAGTATATATGTAACATATTGCTCTGTCTATCTGTTACAAGCAATTGATTTTCTATCAACAATATTTATGATAGAAAGTGAATCTAATGTACTTTGAAGGCACATTAATATGCTACTGATATGAATAAATATTCCCTCTTAAAGAAGGTGCAAATATGAGTTATATAATGTTTAAATTATGATTTTAGAGCATGTAAGATGCTTATCACCTGAAGAAAGTAGTGTTGACTGAGAAATTACTCATTATAAAGGAAGAGAAGTAAAATGTTAAAGTAGTAATTTGACTTCCATACAATAAACTAAATCACTATAACTTTTCTGATTTGCCCGAAAGGCAATGGAAGCAAGATGGTTCAGTCAATTCGCAAATGAGTAATTTTTGGACACAAAAAGGCTTCTGAGGAATAAAAATTTCAGCACTCTGTGGCATAATGGGTGTTCAATGTATCAATGTATGTCATTGTATCAGGGCCATCATTTCACAAACTATTTACTTAAACCCTATCTCTAAATGTGATAAATTTGAACCAAATTTTCTGAACATACTGATGTTAATCTCCTCTAACAGTTTATGTTATTTAAAAAAAAAAAAAAAAATTTACTACAAAAGTTCAAATTCCTTCTAAACGGTAATCTGATCTGATCCTGATGGTTTAATAAAAGAGATGGCATCATGTTACATAGCTTTATATTGTTCAAGGCAAAACAAACATTATTCAAGGGATAAAGACATGTCCGATTACAATCTCCCCTCCAATACAGCTGTTTGAGGACCATTTATACAAAATCGACCCAAATCTGGATTCATGCAATACTACACTATCTTCAGTTGAATAAATAACAATTTGTATGATTTATTATGTCACTTTAAAGTAGGCTACCCCAAATACCAGAAATATCTACCTTACACAGCATAATCTTTTCACTAGTATGACTTAAATACCATAACAACTTTTTTTGCTACTACTACTACTACTATTTTTACCAATATATATATATATATACTACAACTATTTTTGCTACTACTACTACTATTTTGTTATTATTAATCTTGAGATTTTATTAAAGACTGACTTTTATTATACATATTTTGACAATTAACCTATCGAGTGCTACTGGCAAATAAGAACAACATCTTCGGACAATTCCATGCAGTCTGAGTTTTTGTTGATTGCTCAGTCATTATTTTGTGCTTGAATTCCCTGCCATCAGAATGTATACATGTATTCCATGTTAAATGAAGCTCTATCCGCCCGTTAAGGCACAAAAAAGCAGCTTTCGCCCTGGACATGTCACCAGTCATGCCCTTAAAAGCTTAATTTTGAAGCACAGTGGTGATAATTTACCACCGAGTATAAGCCAAAGATATGAGTTTTGAGCCAAAAGTCCCTGACATATGCAATGAGCAGGTCAAACTTAATACATGGACCTTATGACAAAGGACAAGTCCATTATACAAAATCAGTGGTAACCAGTTAAGACATATATTCAGATCAACAATGAATGACATAGATGGGAAACTTGACAGGTGTGACAAAACACACATCTTTCCCTTACATGTTAACACTTTTCTTGATAAATATCTTTTCTTTCATTCTGGACAAGAATAATCATTTCAGAATTAGATTCAGAGTCCAACTGCTTAGAGTACAGACCATGATCTGCCAGCAAGAATGTGCTGTTTGATCTTTGTTTGATCTTCGGATGTGTCATTGGTAGAATCAGTTGTCACTAGCAGGCTGAGAGTTAAATCAGAAAAGATAAGACACCTCTTTAGTCTTTACTATCTAGAAAACAAGGTATTTTTGATATTAAGTTCAGGTTGTCTATATACCTTCCCAAGCCCCCTATTCATACTGTTATGTTCACACTGTGTAAGATATGCTGTACTACACTGTGAGATAGTTTATGTTTCAATTTAAATTCTTCTTCAAGGAGCTGCACCCAGGCGTTTCATAAATTCACAAAAAAATAGCAAACTTTATCTTAATATATGAACATGATATTTATCTGCTATACAATAAAACTTTGAAATATAAGTTGGGTAAAAGTATGTAAGAAGACAATCATGGCCTGTAATAAAACGGCAATGTAATAAAAGGCAAAATAATAGCTTCAAAATGCAAATGAAATATAACATACACCAGATATTCAAGTCCTTTACTTCCTATTAAATTACCTCTAGAAATTAAGAAGCATTGCAAAAAGCCAAACATTTATCGGTTTTTTTCTTTTGATGATAGAAAAAAAATCACTGAAACTGTACATTCAAGCCATTTCTTTCCTATAAAGTTACCTCAAGTAAAAAAGGTGCATTCCTTAACTTAAGCACAATGTTTTTTTTTCTAAATGGGTTGTGAACTGAAAATTTACAATATTAGTAATGGTGTTTTAACTGTTTTTTCTAAACTTCTTGTTGAAACGTTTATGCGGGCAATACAAATGACAAGACGAGTAGTGTAAATTATTTCCTTTGTTTTCATCACAAAAAGTATGCAAACCTGTTATACTTATTACACAGTATTTATAGTGAATTCATAAATAAATTTCCATATTCTTAATAATATCAATTTGTGACTCAACATATTCTCATTTCTGAAATTCCCAAATCTATATAAAATGGGAAGTCGGTGAGATATACATACATTAAACCAATAAAATTAAAATGCTAGAACAAATTTTAATAAGAGAATATAACAATATTTCTTCTAGCTTATTTTAATTTGCTTGTTTGATATCTTATGCTATTAATCAGGTATAGAGAGGTGCTAGGTCAAGTTTGGTGAAGATACATCCGGGGCTGATTTAACATTGACAAACAAACTGACTAGGTTTGGTAAGTCAGTACATATATTAGCTTAACCAAACCTCTGGCATCCGGACAGTGGCTGACTTCGGTTAACATAGGAAGTCAGAATTTTGAACAAATTAGATAAATTCTTATAAAGTTAGCAGTAATAAAGCAAACCTGCAAAAGCTATGTACATGTATTTAACATTTAGCATGCTGTCGACAGCAAACTCTACCCATGTGACTGATCAGTGCAGCCCAAGATGACAGCCAGCAAATCCATGCTCTCTGCACAATTTGCCATTCAGTAAAGTAAATATTTTGAAATTTTCCCCTAAAAATAATGAATGGTTTAGTCCATATTGAAAGACGGACTAATCCATTTTAGAAATTTAGCGTGGTTTGGGTTAAACATTGATATTCCTCAAATTGTCACTACAGAGCCCAAAACAAGTCATTTTACACAAATTCGGCAGAATGTAAGAGACTCTAATGGTGGCTCTGCACGGAAACCGATAGTAAACACAATCTCAAATTTTACAACCTTCAAAGTGGTTTCATTGACAATAGACACGCCATGATCAACACTAAGTATTATACACCTATCATACACTGTCAACAGTGTAAACCTGGTGACAATCAGTCTTCGGGCCACTTCAAAGTTTAATGATGAAATGTCTCATAAAAGTAATTGAACATGATGCATAATAACTGTGTAAATATACAAAAGTTACCACCGTTTGAAGTCATTATAACTCTACTATCAAGTATTTACTCTATAAACTAACACAACAATCTCTGCCAATCTTTACCCCTTTCACTTCTCAAGATATGATAAAACTGAATCAATCTATATTTAGAATATAATGCATACATGATTATTATGTCACTTTCTATACAAAATGTTAGCATAGCTATTTTCCTCTTCTGATTCTTTTTAAGCTGCTCATATATAATTTTGGACTGGTATCTATTAATTTTGTATTGGTATCTTATAATCTTATAATTTGGGACTGGTATCTTATAATTTTGGATTGGTATCTTATAATTTTAGACTGGTATCTTTTTATTTTGGATTGCTATCTTATAATTTGGGACTGGTATCTTATAATTTGGGATTAGTATCTTAGAACCGAGGGAATTGCTAGATTCTCTTCATCAATTAACCTGTTAAACAGTCAAATAATCACTTTACTAAAGTATTGTGTAAACCATGTGTAGCAAATATAAATAATTAATGAGGCATATAATATAGAGATGCATGCAACCACAGCTACAGGAATGTCAATGCAAATTTTAAAATCTGGATATACACAATATACTTCAAATAATGCTACACTTTTTCATTTCATTTTGCCTTCGTTTATATAATGATCATGTCAATAAAATTTTAGTACAACAATCTATTACAATGACTAAGAATGATGAAATGGGAACATATATTACTCTTCTATATATATATATATACGGATAACTTCATGTTCAGAAAATGCGTTAAAATTACTATATTAAGCTAAAAAAATATACATAAATTGTACATGAATATGGGATAGTATTAAAGCACATCATAATAATACACTACCAAAATTACACTGCTGAGAGAGATAGAGAGAGACCGCAAATCATCCTGTCTTGATAAATTGTTACTGTAGTTAATCCAAGTATTTCACTGAAGGACTTGTATATCTCCGGGAATGTTGGACAATTTATCATAACAGGAAAGTATGTATGAATTGGATTTTAGGCGACAAGGTGTACTTGAAACATAAAGCACTATGTCTGAATTTTATAACATTGCTTCAATATACTTTCATCCATTTTTTATTTTGAAGAAACATGGCCAAACTTGGGATTGTTCAACCTGCAAATCATAGGTTGTGAGGTAGACACCTAAATCATTAGTCCACTGCTTAAACTGCCTTCATAAGGAACATTATGTAAACTCAAATTTGTCATACAGATCGAAGCTTTCTACCCATGACTTTTCTTTCTGCATAGAAATTTGAAATATAATTGATTTTTGAGGCACACCAGGTCAAGAAATCTTTAAAATACACATATATGACACGGCCATTGTTTCTCTAGTCAAATGTTTTTAGAGGTTTAAACCTGGGACATTATATTAAATGCATAATCAATAATATAATCTGATTCATCAGGTATTAATGTCAGCCTAACATCACTCATTGATTTCTTATAGAAAACTTGTCTTGGGATGTCAATATAAGGTAAAATACTGAAGGGGTATGCTGTACTCAACACTGTATACATAATATATTATACAGCTGGTGCAATGCATTGAGCGAGTCTTGCATGAAATTGATCATTACAGGATTTCATGAAATTATAAATGACTAGACACACGATTATATATGTCTATTAAACAAAAGGCACACAGACTTCTATTTTATGACTAGTCAGTCTACTGAATTAATAATGCTAAAATTATAAGTAAGAGCATGGAAAACAATTTATTTTGTCGAAGGTATCTTTTTACAGCAGTTTTGAACTTAACAGTGTCTGACTTTAGATAAAGAACTTGTTTCTGACAATGCATCAAAAAGTGTATTTTTTTATTTTACCTGAAACAACCCTGGCTGCAAAACTTTGAAAAGGCAAAATAAACACAAGTCCAAATATGGGAACAATAATAATTACCTTAGTTTTCAAAGATAATCAATCAGAAGAAATGATGTAATATCATGTAGTGGTAGTAGTTTAATGTAAGTCATGCACATCAATGAACTAGACATAACTTACATTAACCATGCTTCTTTAGAAAATAAATTATTGATTTTTGTTGTTGGGTTTTTTGAAGGAGACTAGGGTAGGGCGGGGGTCAGTTTATTTGGTTTTTTGGGGGGAGACGAGGGTGAGGAGTATTACCACCTTTCTAAGAATATATGTAATTCTTCTATTGAAAACAGCCTAAATTTGGAAAATGGAATGAAAAATAAACTGGATATACAAGATCCACCACCATAGCATGCTTAAGTCTTATACAGTAAATTTCTGTATTCTATCCCATCAAGACTTGTCAATTATATTTACCTTTTCCAAGAAGGCATTAGCCCATTTGGTAAATGTCTTTTTCTGTATATAAACTCTTTCATCTCGCAGAGCACCTATTCTCCCTGTCTCGAAATTCTGTATGTCCCTTGATGACATACTGCATTAACTCTTCATCAGTGCTGAAAACAAACAATTTAATCCATTTAATGATTAGTTTAAATTATGTCGGAAACAAACACAAAAATTCTTGTTACTTGCTGCTGATATCCATGGATAAGTTTGGCTAACAAGACCATGTATAATAGTTCAAATATAAGCAACTTTCTTATTTGTCATTTAAAAATCTGCACTGAAATTCTTTGCCGTTCTAAAAGAGTTTTTTAGCCGGTCCATTCTTTTTAATAAACTGAAATGTCCCTGAATGCTTGCAGTGGTCCGCTTGCAAGGATTCAAATCCATGGTAAAAATGCATTCCTTAAATCTAAACTGGACAGATCAAAATTGAAGGTAGACAGATTAAACTGGGTCAATATCAGACAGTAGTGGTCAAATTCTGCCACTTCTATATGCAACCCAATTGACAGGTAATTTGATGAGCATGACAGTAGCTTGATAAATTGTTAGATAACAAATTTAATAAATATTTGATGATTGGTCGCTATGCATGCTATCAAACAATTCATGTTGATACATGATGACAGTCAACAATAACTTTCTATCATTAAAACAACAAAACTGCCTTTCATATATATGCAGTAACAATATGTAAAAAAATTTTCCAACAATTTAATGACTTCAAAATCATATGAAAATGTAGAAATATGACATGTCTACACCAGTGCAGTTTAAGGTTGTATATTAGTTATCGGTTTCAGGTCTACAATGAACATTCCATCAGTAAAATGACTTGTGTATCTTATAATTATACAATTCACAACAACTTCTCTATAGATTCTACACAGAATGGAGTGACTTAAATTCAAACAAAGAAAAGTGCATTTCATATAAATTTAGCAAAGTAAGCGAATGTTCCTATTGAGTAGCTACAAACCTTTAAAAGAATTCAGTATAGGGGGGATAAAATCTTCAAATTCAAAACAGAATAATTCTATTCTGTAGATCTTAGCAGGGTCAAGTCCATATAGACTACGTTTCAATGGAATATAGAATATTGCTCCATTATCATTGTCACAGCTTGAGTAATCTTTTTAAAAATTAATCCCATTAGAAGTACAGTGTACTTGAAAATCAACAAAAGGAGAAAACACTTGACAATTAAATTTCACAAATAAGTATTGATTCATATTATCTACTATTCAAAAAGTATATACAACTGAACATGCATATTACAATATTTATTTTGACTGATATAATCGATCTGTTTACTAGTCTGATATTAATACTCCTTAAAGGCAAACTTTATAGGTCAGTCAACGGCAAAATGTTCTAACTAATTTACGCTCAGTGTTCAAAAATGCGTAAATTTTTTAAATCGTAATAAACATTGCTGTTTCAGTTATAGGTAGAATACGTTCAGATATCATGTTTTATGTTTATAGTATGCATACAACACACTTCAAATATTGACAATAATCCTCGAATTTTTCAATGGTTGGTTAAATAGACTGCATTGGAATTTTAATACTTTGCTTTAAACTAAACTTCTAAAGTTACAGTAGCTTGATTAATTGTTAGATAACAAATTAAATAAATATTTGATGATTGGTCGCTATGCATGCTATCAAACAATTCATGTTGATACATGATGACAGTCAACAATAACTTTCTATCATTAAAACAACAAAACTGCCTTTCATATATATGCAGTAACAATATGTAAAAAAAATTTCCAACAATTTAATGACTTCAAAATCGTATGAAAATGTAGAAACAGGGCTCCAGATAATTTTTTAGGGCAATGAGTATTTACTCATTGATTTTTTTGTTAATGAGTAAAACTTGAAATCTGAAATTTGGCAGGAGTATTTTTACTCCTTAAAATGTATGTAAAAGAGTAAAACATTTATTATGCTTCCATGTTTATTGCATTATCATACTTGTAATACAAGATATGTCAAAGTCATTTCTTTTGCTTTTTGGACTCCCTTGGTTAACAATCTTGATTTTCCAAACGGCATACGTTTTATCTGAACCTGAGACATGTTTCTGTTGCTCATATGTGGCAGCGCTAATTATTTCATTAATTATAACCTTAACCGATTTTTTTGGGCATAAAATACGAGTCAATCGTTTTAACTCTTGACAGTGACATTGTACCGGATGTTTATGAAATTGTGTTAATTCCACCACCTTACTATACATACGATAACATCCGATGATAGTCGGAACTACAGGAAGTTTCCGTTAGACGTTGCAAAGCATTCATACGAAGTTAATTCCACCACCATACTATACATACGATAACAACTGGTGATGGTCGGAACTACAGGAAGTTACCGGTAGACGCTTGCGAAGCGTTCAGACGAAATTAAAAATAAGATAATCACCGAGTTTACTTTCGGTTACGTTTACGCGAAAGAAATGTTGCTCAATGCGTAACCTGAATTTTGTGTGCGTTTTCATACGCTTAAATTTTGTTTTGAATGCGTAAACGTGTTATTTCCATGCGTAATTTACGCGTATACGCATCTTATCTGGAGCCCTGTAGAAATATGACATGTCTACACCAGTGCAGTTTAAGGTTGTATATTAGTTATCGGTTTCAGGTCTACAATGAACATTCCATCAGTAAAATGACTTGTGTATCTTATAATTATACAATTCACAACAACTTCTCTATAGATTCTACACAGAATGGAGTGACTTAAATTTAAACAAAGAAAAGTGAATTTCATATAAATTTAGCAAAGTAAGCGAATGTTCCTATTGAGTAGCTACAAACCTTTAAAAGAATTCAGTATAGGGGGGATAAAATCTTCAAATTCAAAACAGAATAATTCTATTCTGTAGATCTTAGCAGGGTCAAGTCCATATAGACTACGTTTCAATGGAATATAGAATATTGCTCCATTATCATTGTCACAGCTTGAGTAATCTTTTTAAAAATTAATCCCATTAGAAGTACAGTGTACTTGAAAATCAACAAAAGGAGAAAACACTTGACAATTAAATTTCACAAATAAGTATTGATTCATATTATCTACTATTCAAAAGTATATACAACTGAACATGCATATTACAATATTTATTTTGACTGATATAATCGATCTGTTTACTAGTCTGATATTAATACTCCTTAAAGGCAAACTTTATAGGTCAGTCAACGGCAAAATGTTCTAACTAATTTACGCTCAGTGTTCAAAAATGCGTAAATTTTTTAAATCGTAATAAACATTGCTGTTTCAGTTATAGGTAGAATACGTTCAGATATCATGTTTATGTTTATAGTATGCATACAACACACTTCAAATATTGACAATAATCCTCGAATTTTTCAATGGTTGGTTAAATAGACTGCATTGGAATTTTAATACTTTGCTTTAAACTAAACTTCTAAAGTTACACTATGTGAAATTGACAGAGTGTGAAAATACTATAAGGCGTACTGCTGGGGACATATATAGACAGCAAAGTGGTTAAATAATTGCTATATTTGTAATATAAAGACTGTGTCGGTCAATGATCTAGTCCTTATGATAAATAATGATAAAAAAATTCAATCTTCTGAAGGTTTCAGATAATGAAATAAGTAAAATCAGGACAAGCTTTATACTGTTAAGAGTTACTGAACAGATGTAGAAAAATAACTCCATCTATACTACAAGTCATGTATTTCTACTGCAATATATTTCAATAAACATTCAAAATATAATGATATCACCTCAAGTCTTTTGAAGAAATTTCACTTTTAAATTGCATTGAAATTCTCAAACTGTTTAATCCTCAAATTTATCAGTCGTGAGTCAACAAAAACATTCTCCAAATTTGAAAGAAAAGGAAATGCTAAATCTTAAGGTGTGTCACTTTCAATAACTTTTTGAAGAAATGTTTAATATAAAATTTAAAATCATTAAATTTAAAAGAATTACCACCAACATTGTCCCATTTAAAACGAAGCATCTTATTGGAAGATAGAAATATGTTCATGGAGCTGTTCGATAAATCATAAAGTAGGAAAAGGACGGTGTAAAGTACTATAGGTAATATTTTTGAGGGCCACAGTAATTCTTTTTTTCCAATTGACAAAACCGTCAAAAATTCAAAACAGAATCTTTCCCAAAAATTGAGATTTTTTTCAAATTTTACTGAAAAATGCTATCAATATGTTTATATTACCATCTGATTAAAAGATACATGTACTTTATATAATTTATAAGGTTTTGGTCAATTTTCCATATTTTTTTAGTTACTATACTACAAAGTCCCAATTAAAAAGGCATGTTGCTTAAATATTGGCTCCTCGTGATATAGTAGGGTGTCCCTTGACCCTGACAAGCTTGAGAGGTGACCTTGACCTGCTTATGAATTTCATATATCATGTATTTTAAGAATACATTTTAACAAGTATGAAATTTCTAATCTAATAGGTCTGTATCAGATCTGGCAAGTTATTAAATAGTCATGAACATTTAACTTAACTAAACAAAATATTACAGGTGAAAATATGAGCTAGGGTCAAATGACAGGCTAAATTTTGCTGACTTCTAGAGTACAATTAACATGACAATTTTGTACAATTCAAATAAGTCAAAAGTAGAGCTCTAGTCTTCCAAAAGACTTTAATTGTCTGATTGTATATTGCTAGTACCGGAAAAGTATGACATTTTACGTTTGTCATTCACATTAATATATAAATCATGTATTTAAACAATGAATAATATCTACCAGTGTTTAAAACACATGTAACATAGCTGTCAGTGTGGTATCTGAGAAACTGTTTGAGGAAGGATGCATTAGAATAGTATTAAAATAAAACATACAATTAAAAAGGTCACCTTATGCAGATAAATTAATATGAGTGTGACAATTAATCACTATAAAAGCTATTGGGTAACTATGTACTATGTAGTATAACACTTGAAACCTTTTGAGGAATCTAATGGCCACATTTCCTTATGGTTATCTTTTTGTTTGATAATTAAACAAATACTAGCTCTTTACAATTTCCTGAATATGCCTCAAAATACTTGTTATAAGACAGAGAACTTGCTACCATCATCTTATTAATGAGATTGAAAACTGTTATGGAAATGCAAAAGCTAGGAAATCATTTTTTCAAAAATCTTAAGTCAATTTGTAAAATCTATTTGTTCAATATTTTAAGCAACTGACATGTACATCAATTTTAAAGACAGAGTCTCGAGAGAGAGAGAGAGAGAGAGAGCAGGGCAGAGAAAAGTATTTGCTTAAAACCCTCAAAAGTTTGACCATGTCGTTGAATAACATTTGATAAACAGATTATGTTAAGTTTTACATCTAAAATATAGAATGATGAGGTATATAAGGTTACATACATTTTGACCATACAGAATAGAAATAGCCATCATAAGGCTGATTTAACATCAATAAAATTTGCTTCAGGATATATACTTAAAGTGTTGCTCATTGAACTTCTATTTATACGGCTATCTGTCGGACTTTCATCAACTGAGGTAGTCAGATGTAACACCTCTTTATTATTTACATCTTGCAGAGATTTTACAGGTGAAAAAAACATTAAAATAAAAAGTGTATCTTCCTGTAAAAATAACCAGGGGCAGCAATAACATGTACAGATATTAGGTATGATCATGATCACTACATTTTATAATACAGTTTAAATATTTCTGGTATGAAACAGAATATGTTTTTGCACTGTTACAGATCTACTATTTGGCCAAATATTGCATTAGATGTCAAGATCCATAAATTTGTGGATCTATTTACATTTAATTTCTTTGAAAAGGCATTACTTAAAATCAAGAGAAGTGTTACCAAAGTATTAATATTGACTATTCTTTGAACTGTGATCAGTAATCAATAAGTAAGTCTTTTACTATCCCTGCCCAAACCTTTATAACCTGAATTTTTAAACCACTATTAGTGACTCCTTACATTACTAGCTGAACATATCTACTACCTACTTTGGGTGCAAGTGCATGGGCAGATAAAAACTTGGTTTATTTCCTTTTTATCCCAAACAATCCCTGGGTTTTGGGGGAAGGGGGAACAAAGTCACAAATCTTGTCTTCTTATAATAAACTTGGTAAACTGAAGAATTGCTGTACATTGCTGATGCATCATTGTGTGTTTAATATTCCAAATTCTAAAATGCTATGTACATTAATTCTACTGAATTTTTTTATCATATTAACTGTCTGAAAAAAAGGATGCATTTTTAAAATATGTTATCTATACATTGTACAGCACAGTTCAGACAGTATCTAAGATTATTACCAGGAGGGCATTTCATACTTTTTGTATTTGTCAAATAAATAATATGTTTTATTGGTAAGTAATACGGGGAAGTCAAAGACCGGGCCCGCGAAGCGGGTCCGGGCTTTGGCTTGCCCGGCTATAGACTACACGTGTATATTTAAAAGAGAATCAAATAGAAAAGCAATTAAAAAATATATAGAATTCTATACCTATCAATGAAATTTTCAGTGTCAGTTCTAGTCGGGCGCCGCCATTTACAATGTAACTCAATGATAAAAGGCGGGGTATTCCGATAACGGAACAATTCTCAACTTTTCGGATAAATAATAAACATCGAGTGTTCCGAGTGAAAACGGAAGCGGTGCATGTAATACCGAATGACAATTTTAAAAGGAAAGAATGAAAGGAATTTTTTAACGACTTCCCCGTTCATAGGCTTTGCCTAATTTCATATTATTTTGTCAGGAAAGTAATGCACTTGTCTGATAAGAAATCACAGAAAATCAGACAAGAAATGAAATTTGTCTAAGTTTCTTTGTCAGTTGACAATGTAATTGTCAGGTAAGTAATTTTTATGTCACATCCATGTTTTATCAGGTAATATGCATTTGTCAGGTAAGTAAATTGTCTATTTGTCAGATAACAGCGTTTTTTTTCTCTACTTTGGGAATGGTGCCGGTACCAGACTGATTGGGAAAAAATGCGTTATTTTGACTCAAATTGGAAATTTTTTAATGCATTTTTTCAGCTACAAATAAGATAAGTCATCATGAATAAAGATAGCTAACAGCTTCTACTGTCCAGATAGAACTATTGAGTAGTGATTTATATGAATATGTTGGATTTAAATGATTTTAGAAAAATTACTTGGGCTTGTGGGCATTTTGAACAGCCATTTTGGGAATTTAAACATTGGAAATTGGGAATTTTAATGTCTATTTTCTATTGGGAACAGTACCGTTTTAGGGTAGTAGTTATATATAGAAAAAAACACTGGATAATAATACATTTTTCAGATGAAAAATGTATTTGTCAGGTACATTTTTTGTCAGGTGATAACTTATTTGTCAAGTAAGTAATGTATTTGTGAGATGGAATTAAATAATACATTTGCAAAGAAACTAATATTTCTACCTTGATTAAAAACTGTCAGGTACATTGTAAGAGATAATAATGTATTTGTCAGGTAAGTAATGTTTTTTAAAGGAAAAGAGTCAACTCGGCCCTATACCAACTCGGCACGGGTCAACTCGGCACGGGTCAACTCGGCACGGGTCAACTCGGCCCACTTTACAAAATATATATAACGTCTTTACTTTGCTTTGCATGTTGTTAAGTTAAATGAATAATAAGAAATATCTTATTATAATTATATAATTATACATTGTACTTCTGCCGACAGGCTATATTTAGAAAAAAAAAGTTATTTGTCTTGCAGATTCGATAAATTTAATATAGATCTGGAACATACGATAGTACATCCCAGTATAGATATAATAAAAATGTGTTTCCTTTGACGCATATTGTTTGTAAAGTAATTTTCAAAAAAATATGAAACAAAAACGTGTTTACTTAATATATGAGCTTCTAATTAATTGCAGGTGGTCACTAATCAAATTTGAATGCATGAGTCAATCATAATTATCACCTAATTAATCGGTATCCTTAACATACACATTGATTGATAATAATAGCCCGAGACAATAGGAGTCCTTCAATGTCTTTTACCCATTTTTAAAAGTGGGCCGAGTTGACCCGTGCCGAGTTGGAATAGGGCCGAGCTGACTCGGGGGCCGAGTACGTTTTAGGGCCGAGCTGACCCGGAATCTTTTTTAAATACTTATTCAGTTAAATATTTTTTGATATATAACACTATGTACAACCTAAATAGCATTATTCCTTAAATAGCTTTTATTATCTGTAAAATATCATATCTGGTATCACTCGTCTTTATATTCTACTAAAGGTATTCTACTTTCACTTTCTAAAATGTGTACCACGAGTTACTTCCCTTCCTTTCAATACACTAATTTCAAATACACATGCACAGAAAATAGGTGCAAAATCGTAATGTGCAATGACTTATTCACAATTCAGAGGCCTTAATTCATTTATAACATGTAAATGAATACAACCAAATGGCTTTATTGACCTGTCATTGGGTGATAAACCGTAAATCAGTGTAAATATTTACCAACAGCAGCCGTCACATACTACTGTCAATTTATGAGCTCAATTTTAGCGGGTATTATTGCCACTGTCCTAAATAGGAATCAAGTAAAGAGTGACAGAAAAACTTACCTTAAAGCAAAGACACTTGAAGAAGCAGTCCACTCGTAGAGTGTTAATTAATAAAATATCCTTATACGCTTATAATTCCATATAAAGGCAATTTTACTCCGTAATAAATTAGGTGACAAAACTTTACTAATTTGTAAAATGGCCGACGGCCGATACCTGTCAAGGTGTGTCGTCACTCGAAGCGCCCTCTACTGTCAACTATGATTACAATTTGAAAGGGGCGTGTCATGTAATACCTAATTTCGATTAAATAATTTTTAATATGTTCTTATAAAATTTATCTCTTCAAATTGACAATTAGACTAAGTTAAGTTGTTATTTATAAATACAGATTAAATTATTGAATAGTAATCATAATAATTCAATTGTATGAGTTGAAAAGATGGCTATGTATTTAAGATTGATTTGATATCGGAATTTAAGTTTCATAATAATTTAATTTAAGACTTCATAAATGTAGACATGTGTACTATTACTTTTCTGTGTACATCTGTGGGGGAGATAACGATCGTGATAAATTGGCTAGCAATTTAAGACAATCTCTTCCCATGGTAAACAAACATGTAGATCTATGTATGATTTTGCAAGTAGCACTGACACGGGGATATTGAAAAGTAAATTTTAAACAAAAGTTCACGTGGAGACTTCTAAAATGACATTTTGTCACATTCTGTCCGTTACAGTCAACCCTGTGTTAAGATACCACATTTGAATAAACCGTGTAAATGAGGTCAATCTTAGACCGCCCTTCATTGATTCTGAGACAGACGATAACTTAGTAAGTTATCTTCTTTCACAGACTGATTAAATAGAACAAATTAAGTAACCCCCAAATAAAACCCAATTGATAATAAAGGCCATTGTCGGTCTCTTTGATGGCCTTTTTTCAAAGGTTTGACAATATATCTGTCAGGTCAAAATTTTCCTCATTCTTTTAAATCTAATTATCTTTAGTGCAAACGACCTCTCAGTGTTTCAATATTTAGGATCTCCGAAATAGCAAAATGCAACTGCACTATAGAATACAATTAACACTTCCAAAATTTATAAAGAATGATGTTTTAATTTTGAAAACGAATCTAAGTGGACTGCCAAAATTTACACATAAAATTTGGCATACAAACCGGGTGAGCCCGAACTAGTAGACAGCAGGCAAGCGTTTAATTTATTTTCTTCAGCAATTGCTCCAAATACATGTTAATCTAACATACAAAAAATAAGAATACACCGAAAGCAATTGGGTTGGGCAACAAGTACTTCGAATATTAGAGTATGGCCTTCGCATTATTTTGTTGTACTATTGCAGTACATGTTAATATTTATTTTGAACGAAGCACTTTTGTGTGAATACACTTGCGCCAGGAATTCTTTTGAACCGAATCCACGTATGCATAATAGTCGTTGGTTTGTGGCACGTGCTCTTTTATGATATTTTTACTACGATAAAGTGTATGGATTTATACTTTATATATTAAGAATCAATATTAAGAACCAATCTCAAACAATGTATAGATGCAAATGACAGTTTAAATCATTGAATTTAACCTTTCTGTCTTTACTAAACTCGATTTCGAGAATTACGTGCGTTACACATACTGTAAATGGGTAACAGTAATTATCAATGGTTTTTCTCTTCTTTATTGGTGAAATACAACAATCAACGTGCAGTGATGTTGTTAGCCCTGAACCACCTTTACCAGCTTATATGTCTGTGCAGTCTTAGTCCTAGGCTCTGTATTGGCTGGCCAACTTCAAATTGTCATCTATACATCACCTAAATTGATAATGAACAGTTCCCAAAAAGGAAGCTGCTAGAATGTGAAATACAGTGATAGTAGAAATAGAAATGAAATTTAAATTTACATACGTTTCGAATATTTAATCAAAACTTATTTGTAAAAAAATGCGCATTAAAAACTGCCTTTTAATTGTCTAGGGATACTCAAACTGAAATGATGCATGTTGAAGGGGAACATATTTTTACTCGTATATTCAGTCCGTCGGGAAATCTTATCATAACGTTCTGAACATAAATAAATAAATAAATAAATAACATCAGATGTAAGATTATATTTGTAGTATATGCACTCAATGGAAATCATTATGTTTTTATCTTTTGCCGTTTGGACACATTTGTGCAGATTAATACATTAACAAGTGCACAAAATGACAATGAAATATATATGCAAAAACAATCAATGTTTATTTGTCATTTACGAAACAGAGCAGTGACTTATTTGGATGAAATTTGCAATTAGACAATTTCCTTTTAGGTCAAAGGGAAATAACTCACCGAAGTATACTGGTAAATTGATGAAGCATTTTTTTTGCCTTTTTCTTCGTTAGATCAGTCTTTCAAGAAACTACTTAGACCAGAAACAGTTTCGTTTTTTTAAATCTAATATCGGTATATTTTGTTTTTTTCTAAATGAACACAGAGCATCATATTTTTTTTTTAATTTGACTTACTTCATCGAATTTTAATTTTAAGAAAAGAACATTTGGAATTTGTTTATCGTGTTAAAATAAAGAACATTTAAGACTTGTACAGTTCATATTACGAACGATCCTAGGCTGTGGCCATGCAAGACTTATAGTATGCCAAAATTAATACGCGAGGAGTGATATATCACATACCATATACTATCTAGAATAAATTTTTCAACATGTTGCTTTTCATCGCCGCAGTTTCTACTTAGTGAAATTGCTTGGTATTTGTCATATAAGACGTATAATCAGTTCAATAAAAACAAACGCTTTTCTTAAGTTTTCGACGTTTAGTCTTCTTCAGAAAAAATTGACGTTTATTTTATTTTTTTTTTTTTTCATATAAGACGTGACACATATGTGTCAGTTATTTTCATCCCCGGCTCTACCCAAAGTGATAATGAAGAAAAAAATCTGAGTTTTTATCTTCCGGTGTGCAGGGTTTTGTTTAAATAGTTGAGGATTCATGTCGATGTAAGTGATGTGACCCTTATAATCCTTAATATCTGAATTAATCTGGTTAATCTTTCAACTTGGACAAGACCATCCATTATTCTTACGGAAATTTAAAAAAAAATACTGACTGGATAGCAAACAGTTGCAAGTTGCAGACCAAGGTTCGACAGCAAAGATAAGCCGGAAGATCTTGGCAAGCATTGCTCGCATAGGTGGAATCAATTGCTGCAAGAGGAATAAAATTATGAATTCAGCGGAAAATAAGAAGGCAATAAACAATACGAAACATTGTTCCAACTATCAAATTAGCTTTTTATCCAATAAGAGTATTAATTAATTAACATAAAACAGAATGAGACATTGCAATGTGTTACCCCAAACGTTTAATCAAATCCTCTATTAACGTCATTTTTAAACAACTACTAGTCACTTACATAACATCGTATAGGTGTTTTACATAATACTTCCTATATACGCGAACACAACTTTCAGAATGAAACATACTTCAACATCTGTAAGACACTTTGAATAATGGTTTCCCTTCCTTATTATGTGTCACAATAAGTCTGATTTCTCTTGAGTCACTTAAAAAAATTGAATCATTCCATGAAAAAAAAATCAACAGCGGACAAACAAAAAAGGGAAATTTATTAATCAGAGTAATTATTCAAACATATTGTCATTATTAAGCAGCTGCCTGTTTCACGCTTATTTGTTATGAAAAAATTTAATAGTGTAATTAAAAGCAGCAAAATTTTCAAGCAAACAAATTAACTGAAAATACATTTTGGTCTGATACAGTCTACGGTGGCATAGAGGGGACATCAGAAATATTTTATCATGTGCGCACGCGATAGCCCCTACGTTGGTCAAACATTGCGTGAAGAAAAAAGAAGAAAAACGGCAGGTTTTTGCAGAAAAACTACATATGCTGACCAACATTTCTGAATAGATAAAATAACTTTGGGCACGCACGACACTAGTTGAAAATTGCTAATCAAGGGCAATAACTCTAAAAATACTAAATAAATGCACACGCGAAAACCAAGGTGCAAAACTTTACATGGTGATCGTCAGGCCAATTTTGACCCCAGGAATTTTATTTTAACAAACTTAGCACACACTCACTAGAAGATATTTCATGCTTGGTATCTAAACTCTAGCTCTCTGGGATTTTAAAAGAAGATTTTTTTTCAGGTTTTACTATACACATAAGGAAAATCAATGACCCTGGGACGGAGCAAATTTTAACCCCAGGGCCCTTATTTGTACAAACTTGGTAGACACCCATTTGAAGATGTTTCATACTGAATATCTTAGCTCTAGCTCTTTGAATTTTTTAAAAGAAGATTTTTTAAGTTTTCACTGTAGGGAAAACAATGACCCCCTGGGGCGGGGCCAATTTTGACCCTAGGGCTTTTATTTGAACAAACTTGGTGGACACCCACCAGAAGATGCTTAATGCCAAAAGTCTAAGATTTTTTAAGTTATTAGTATATACAAATAAGGAAAATCCCCCCCCCCCCGGGTGGGCCAATTTTGACCCCAGGGCATTTATTTGAACAAACTTGGTAGACTCTGACAAAATGATGTTTCAAGCCAAATATTTAAGCTCTATCTCTTTCGTTTTTTTTTAAGTTTTCTTTCGGTTGTCATGGCAACCAGAGTTCTGCATGGAATTAAATTCTTTGAATAATTTTTAAAGTTCACTACCAAAGGAACATTCCTGTGAAGTTTGGATGAAATTGGCTAAGCCGTTTATGAGGAATGTCATTTAAAGTAAAAGTTAACAGACGGACGACGGATGAAAAGCGATCACAAAAGCTCACCATGTCACTTTGTGACAGGTGAGCTAAACAAGAGGGCCATGATGGCCCTGAAGTCGCTCACCTGTATATAGGCCCCCGGAGCGGGGCCAGTTTAAACCCCAGGGCTTTTTTTTGAATAAACATGGTAGACACCCATTAGAAAATGTTTCATGCTAAACATCTAAGGTCTAGCTGGTCAAGTTTTTTCTTTACACATATAGTTAAAAACAATGACACACCTGGGGCAGGGCCAGTTTTGACCCAAGGGCTTTTATTTGAACAATCTTTGTAGACACTTACTAGAAAATGTTTCATGCTTAATATCTAAACTCTAGCTATTCGGGTTTTTTCAAAGAAGATTTTTAAGTTTTTGCTATACACATATAAGGAAAATCAATGTCCCCCGGGGCGGGCCAATTTTGACCCCAGGGCTTTTATTTGAACAAACTTTGTAGACACTCACTAGAAGATGCTTCGTGCTTAATATCTAAACTCTAGCTATTTGAGTTTTTTCAAAGAAGATTTTTTAAGTTTTTGTTATACACATAAAAGGAAAATGAATGACCCCCGGGGCGGGGCCAATTTTGACCCCAGGGCTTTTATTTGAACAAACTTGGTAGACACTCACTAGAAGATGTTTCATGCCAAATATCTAAGCTCTAGCTCTTTGGGTTTTTTAGAAGAAGATATTTAAAGTTTTTTCTTTTGGTTGCCATGGCAACCAGAGTTCTGCATGGAATTAAATTCTTTGAACAATTTTCAAAGGTGACCACCAAAGGAACATTCCTGTGAAGTTTGGATGAAATTGGCTTAGTGGTTTATGAGGAGATGTCATTTAAAGTAAAAGTTTACGGACGACGGACGGACGGACGACGGACGAAAAGTGATCACAAAAGCTCACCCCGTCACTTTGTGACAGGTGAGCTAAAAAATCATGAAATTTAGCATGAATTCTTGAGGCGTGCTGCTTTATATCTTTATATGCAAGAGACTCCTGGGGGGAGGCATTATTGACCCCCCAAGGTCATAATATACATTTATATCATTTTTGTAGAAGTCCATAGGCCAATGCATTATGTCAGATATTAAATATTTTTGGTCGTATAAAATGTGTTCTTATTACCTATATTTTATAGTAATGTATCATAGAATCTCAGTTACAGCAAAGTTTTATCAGTCCATCCAGCTATCAGTCTTTCAGTAGGAAACACTGCCCACAGTAAGGCCATAACAGTTAACAATTGCAGGTACCCCACATTGACAACTTACTGGTAAAATTTAATGGATTTCATTTATAACTACAAGAAGATGTAATTCAGTAAATGAAATATCTTAAGTTTCATTGAGTTTTATAATTACAAATAGTTTCACAAATAATTTCAAGTCTTTCCATCAGTTAAATAGATAAAGAGCTACTCCTTAACTCCAATTGTTACCCATGCTTTTTCCAAACACTATTATTGAAATAAGGTATATTGCCAACACTGAAAATTCTGGTCATTTTAAGGCCTGCATTAACAACTACTGTGGTATCAGCATGATATGCTTTTAAAACCATAAAGATATATGGAATTTGTTTTATAAAACCCCAGCATTTCATATTGGATAAATACATTGTCATTATAAGATTGTGTTGATGAAAAGCAAAGACTACACAGAAGGGAAGAAAGACAAATTTCAACATACATTTTATATGATTTATTTTATGTATAGTGCAATTTAATCACAGAAATAATCAGATTTGTAAAAAAAATGCACCAGAAAATGTAATAAAACCAGGTTTTCTGTCAAATTATAGGTTGACATCCCACCAGATTGGTCAGAGGCCTTGAGCAAAGGAGGGCCATTCACTACTTAATGACAAAATTTGGTTTAAATTCCTTAAGAAATGCACGAGTTGCAAAAAGACGAGTATTTCTCTATATATTATACTGGTTTAAAACATTAAAAATATCTTTACATTCAATTAATAATTTTAATCAAAATACTCTTATACCTAATTTTGCATGTACAACAAAACAAAGGGCCATCACTCTTGTCAAAAATGATCTAATTACAAGCCCCTAACAATGTGCCTGCACTTTGTGACAATAGATCTGTGATAGTTTGGTTAAAATTCCATGAAAAATGTAGGAACAAAGCACTTCAGAAATCATTTATGTTCACCTGCAGACATCCACCAATAATTCAGTGTTTTCTTTCAGAAAACCTGGTTTGAAAATGATTTTATGTTATCTTTTATTTAAAAAAAAAGTGCAGTTAAAACAAAACATGCAAAAGAAATTTTAACCCATTACCCCTCTAAAAAAAAACAACCTCAAAACAATTATAAGTTGTGAATCTAATAAAAAAAACAATCACCATGACATTTTGTTTCAAACCTAATATGAAATCATTATCTTTGTAAATGAAAAAGTATTAATTTAATCAAAGCACAGTTATCAAATTTAAATCCTGACCCTTTAAACTTCAAAAATAAACAAGAGCACCACCTGCCGTGTTAACACTTGTCTGTTAAGGGCAAAAAAAAAATTATATATATATAAAGGGGCATAACTCCAAAAATCTTGGTTTCAAAATTATGCCCCTTGTCTAAGAACTGCACTTTATGATCAGTAAGAATTTAAAGTTTCATATTGATACCTTTTAAAATCATTGAATAATTGGCTACATTAAAACTTTGCATGCCGATGACAACAGTTACACAGCCATCATAACAGCTGAACTTTTTCTTTGAAATGACAGTGGAAAGGTAAAAGAAAAATTTATTCTGCTGAAATTAATATGATTAATCAGTATGTAAAAATTTCATTCAAGCAACATTACTACCATGAAGGTATTATACAATAATGATAGAAAATACATGAACTGATCTTCTTAATGATAGCTAATTTATCCTTCCAATCAAAACAATGATAAGAACACACTTCTGATTATAGAAGAAAACATTACTATATTACTAACATGCACAAAGTATTATTGAAATTATCACCATTCAATAACAAGCATGTTTTACACCATTCTTTTAATTTAAAGTCACAACAGATTTTTGGACCGCCCATCTGCTACAGTTATTCTTCATCAAATCTTACACAAGTCCTGTGCTACTTATAAATAGTTCTTAGTGTTTATTAATATTGATAATTAAGTTTGCGTGGAGTCATGAACTGTCTCATAACTTCGTCCGTGACCTCTGCCCTCCTCTTCCGATGCTCTCCGACAATCTTTTGCAGAATTTCGATCAATTCCTTCTTCAAATATCCTGTGAGAAGTTCGCCACTTGTATATTCCTGAGAATACATCATCATATTTTAGTGAAATAGAAATTTGGTACAAACTAGAAATGTGTCCATAGGACACTGATGCCCCCACACGCCACTGTTCTGTCAATCTTATGATATTTTTTGGACTACATGTGCCACAAGTTGAAAACTAAAAATCAACAAAGGGCCATAATTCTGTTAAATTTGGTCGCAGCAAAAATTCCTTCCTTTACTGCCATCTACACATTAAGGTTATTCATCCCTGGAAGTTTAAGCAAAATCTGCCATCCGGTTTAAGAGGAGTTGCGTTCACAAAATTTCTACATAGTATAAAGTGAAAAAATCAACAAAGGGCCATAATTCTGTAAAATTTGGTCGCAGCGAAAAATTCCTTCCTTTACTACCATCTACACATAAAGGTTGTTCATCCCTGGAAGTTTAAGCAAAATCTGCCATCCGGTTTAAGAGGAGTTGCGTTCACAAAATTTCTACATAGTATATAGTGAAAAAATCAACAAAGGGCCATAATTCTGTAAAATTTGGTCGCAGCGAAAATTCCTTCCTTTACTACCATCTACACATAAAGGTTGTTCATCCCTGTAAGTTTAAGCAAAATCTGCCATCCGGTTTAAGAGGAGTTGCGTTCACAAAATTTCTACATAGTATCTAGTGAAAAAATCAACAAAGGGCCATAATTTTGTTAAATTTGGTCGCAGCGAAAATTCCTTCCTTTACTACCATCTACATATTAAGGTTGTTCATCCCTGTAAGTTTAAGCAAAATCTGTCATCTGGTTTAAGAGGAGTTGCGTTCACAAGATTTCGGGACGTACGGACTGACGGACGGACTGACGGACTGACGGACGGACGGACGGACAAGTGCAACGCTATATGCTCCCACATTGTGGGGGCATAAAAATAACATGAAATAACGGATATATTGTTTCTATCAGTTTATTATTTTGTTCAAATACAGAGCTTTTTGAAATGCATTTTTATTTTTGAAGAAGTACATATACATGTACAGAATTTAATATTCTAAAAAAACTTAACATTTAGAAAGCTGGAACCAAAAGCGAAAAGCCTTTTTGACTTAAATTATGTGCTCTTGAATACAAGTGGAGATGATGAACAAAAACAAGTGTAATAAATCATTATATGAGATATGAAGAGAAAATGCATGGGGTACAGCACTAATTAACTAAACCACAAGACAGCACCTCTATTGTTAGGATTACTCTGTAAATATATATCTATACAGTCAAGCTAACAAGATTTATCTCGTCTTTTGAGTAAAAGCATACCTTCTTTATTTGGGCTAATCTGTCATCGTCCTCCATGAAGAAAGTGAGATACTGGTAGGAAACATCAACATCACAATTACCTCCCTTTTCTTTGTGCTCTTCTACAGTGGCACCCCCACCAGAAAAGGCATACTTGTTGACCTAAATATAAAATCAAGCTTATAATCCTTGCAACCTATTATACTTAATATTACTTCATCTATCACTTTGATAGTTAAAACATGACATTGCATTATAAAAGGCATTTTTATGGCAAAGTTTTGTACTTGAAGTCTCTCTGACAATGTCATGGTTCAAACAGTGACATTCAAACAAACTGGCAAGCAATTGGGTAAAACCATACATTATCCATGCAATAGCTGGACAACTTCTTCATGTGAAAAATTAAGTTAATTGATGCCTTCAACAGTTACTACTAAGCTTAAGAGGTCATAGTATATCAAGACAATATTTCATTATGCCTAAAGAAGAGTGTTATGTTAACACTAACATGCTCAAAAATTCAAAATGAAACTTTATTTTTTACATTATGTTGTTATTATGCATGCTTTTTCCATTAGATTATTTGTTCATTATGTTATTTATATTTTCAGTACATCATCTGTTCATAATGGAAAATTTTCATTAGTTCATTAATTTTGTTCATTATGTAATTCATATTTTCATTACATCATTTTGTTCATTATGTATTTTTTTATTTTCATTACATCATTTTTAATATAATCTAATTTATTCATTACACCATTTGAGCCACGCCATGACAAAACCAACATAATGGGTTTGCGACCAGCATGGATCCAGGTCAGCCTGCGTATCCACGCAGTATGATCAGGGTCCATGCTGTTTGCCTACAAACTCTATAACAAGTAGAGAAACTGATAGCGAACAGCATGGATCCTGATCAGACTGCGCGGATGCGCAGGCTTGTCTGGATCCATGCTGGTCGCAAACCTATTATGTTGGTTATGTCATGGCGCTGCTCATTTAATAATTTAATAGATCACTTGAGAGATTATTGCCATGTTCTGATAAATTGACATTTCCTGGACAAATAACATATATGTAAGATATATAGGTATATCAATAAGGACTTGTCTATGTCACCAGTACACTCTTCTATGTAATTTGACCAAGCTAGTCTCTATAATACTGACTCTTGACTTAAATCATTTTAACATATAAATCCTTCATACTTACAATTGCCTTTTCAAAAGTCAAACTCCTTTACATTTTGTAAACAAGAGCACCAAAAAGGTGGGTCAATATACCCTCAAATGTAAATTTGTTTGAGTAAATCAAAAAATAATCTTTCAATTAGGGTAGAAAACCAATCAAGAAACTTGTTAAGTAGTTTCAATTTACTTCCACCAGTTCAAAAGATACAGACTGAAATCGCTACCAGACGGATGGACAGACAACCAAGTGTATAACATTATAAGCCCAAATTTTTTCAGGTGTAAACAAATTAAATCACGATGAAAAATGGTGTGATCAAATCACTATCATTACTTTATTCTTAATCTGTTTATCTGTGTCTGTCAGGAAAATAGAAGAGTTTGGATCACTGGCACTCATTTTACTCTGTGCCCCTTGCAGTGCTGGGAAAAACGTGGAATGAATAAGTGCTGGTTTTAAACAACCCATTCTAGGAGCTACATCTCTTGTCATCCTGAAATACGGATCCTGAAAATAAATGTCAAACATTATTGAAATGTTTATAATATGTCACTTCCTTCATTTTCATTGATAACAAGAGATGTCAGTAGGACAGGGTTTTCAAACCATTCCCTTCTATGGTTTTGTATATACCAAATTGCTTGCAAAACCTAAACCGAAGTGTGAACGACGCTGACGCCAGTCAGAGTACAGTAGCTCTTACAATTCTTCGATAGTCGAGCTAGAAATGTATCAAAATTATGAGGGAAATTTGAAAAAAATATATAAAAATTACATTTCTTTTCAAAATGTCAATCAAGTTTTAATTCATCCTGACTGATTAGGATCCTCTTCCTCAAACCGCAACATATGACAGATATTATTAGGATAGCCCCATTAATCCTTGAAATTTTAAGCTATAGCCTCTAACAAAATTCTGATCTTTTTATTATTATAAACATCAAAACACATTTTCTACATGTAAATCATACCTGATCTATTGCACAAGGAATCAAGCATGGGACGTCTTTTTTGCCATTAAATATGAGAGGAAATGATGAACTAAAGCTAGGAGCCGCCTGTATAGCTGGAAAACTGATCTTGCCTATACAGTCACTATCACCAAATCCAAATATTCCCTTCACTTGGTTAAATGTCACTAACTTTTGCACACGTAACATATTCTTGTAAAAATCTGGACATGATCTTAAAAGAAACACATAAATAATAATAATGATTAATTAAATGCATCATACATGTCCTTTTAAAGCTGCATTGCCTCCAGAATATAAATAGAACAAAGTATCAAACAAATGCACCTATGATTTACAAGTTTGAGAAACTGCACAACTGCCTGTAAACATTCCTGCACTTGTTAGCATTATTCAGGAAAAAAATGATTCATATAATGCTATATTACATACAGGATATATTTTTCAATGAAATATATATATGTATTTTTCACCAACTAAACACTGGATGTAATATCTTCATCATGTCAGAGTGGTATTCAACATGAGTAATATATCAGCCAATATTCAAACCATAGTAAAATTAGAGGTGTAACGATTCATCGCGATCTGTCTTGTCCCCGATGTATGCATCGTAATGAAATTACAAATTCCAATATATTGCGATGCAATACATATTTCACCTCCCGATGTATCGATACAGCGGGAAGGTATCGCAATACACTAACAATATCTTCCAGGAATATAAGGACAAACGTATTTTTTGAAAGACTGAAGAAAGAAAAATAGCTCGGATGAAAACAATAAACAAGCGCGACTATTATCATACCATCGTTGTCATCTCGTTTCCCCATGTCCGCAATCATTTAACGGTTACTAACCAAGTTTTATCAATTCCATGTAAATGGGCTGGTGTTCTTTGAACTTGTTTATAATAAAAACATAATTAGAGATCTGTGCGATTTCAAGAAAAAACAACCTACAAACATGAATTTTATTTTGTAGCACTTAAATGTCGGATTAAAATAGTGATGATGACAACATCCCCATGTGATATTCGTCACGTATTTATACTTTCATTTCCGTTGACATCATTTTCCCGTAAAAAAACAACAAAGCAAACAAACAGAAAACATGAAGACTGCAAAATATGTAGACGGGGAAATTACAGTCAATCCTCCCTGGTCATATAAGTCACGAGTTTTGGGAAAATTGTAGTTTTTGGGGAACCATGAGACAGTGTTGTATAATGTGGAAGACCGGACGTGGAGTGTTTGCAAAATCAAAATAAAATACTCTGGGGTTGAGCACAAATCTTTTGAGAAAACTGAGACTGAAACTTATAAACTGTCATTTTCACAGTTGTTGACCTAATTGTAGATCACTTGTTACTATTTTTTTCACAAGAAAAATCTTTAGTGGTGTATTGTAAGACTGAAATTGTTAAACTGCCATATTTACAGTAGTGGACTTTAGTGTTAGAATAGCTAGTAGATATCAATTTGCTGTTATGGTTTAATTAAAAATACCTTTAATCCTCAAGTAATCAGAAAAGTAAATTGTTAAAAGATCAAAATCGGAAACCAAGTTATAACAACAAGTTAAAAGAGTTTATTTTTTTGTTATTGTAATAGTTTTATATCATATTCGTAATTATGCTGTAAACAAATCGCCAATTTTTTATATACTAAGTCTAAAAGTCAGTATCGTGATATGTATCGCATCGCAACATAAGAATCGCAATATGCATCGCATTTCTTCAAAGTATGCAATATACATATCGTGAATCGCATCGTTTTGAAAAACAAATATCGTGATATGTATCGTGACAGAAAAAAATGGCAATGCACAGCCCTAAGTAAAATAACCACTTGATCTAACATGTGAACTTTCTTATTTATTTCAAGCTTTTTGCTTTTTTTTGCAGTTTCAAAATTTGAATTTTAAAATGAGCTGTTCATACTATAAGTAAATACATGCACGAAGAAACTTCTGTTTATCAAAACATAATTTTAAAGGAAAAATATTATGATGACGTCAAACAGACTTGATCTTTTGACATTTTATTTTGTTCATTGACAAAAAAGTATATCTATACGAATAAAAAATCTTACTAGGAGTAAACCCATAACTGCACTAAGGTGACATTATAAAGACAAATTTTGTAAATAACTATTTCAACCCTTCAAACATGTTAATTTTCTGGGAAGTAAAACATGGGGAGCCTGCTAACTTACCCTATATATTCCAGGTCACTGAATATGAATGTTTTGTTTACATCAAACCCTAGAGCGATGATGTCTTTAACATTCTCATGTGCTAGTCTATTAGTTTCCTCGAGGGCCAGATCCTTCCATAGAAATTTCTCATCATCTGTCATTTGAATGACAAGAGGGACATCAAATGTTTCCTGTAACCATCTGAAACATCAAAACATAACCTGAATATGAGCCGCGTCATGACAAAACCAACATAATGGGTTTGCGACCAGCATGGATCCAGATCAGCCTGCACATCCACGCAGTCTGATCAGGATCCATGCTGTTCGCTATCAGTTTCACTACTTGTTATAGACTTTGTAAGCGAACAGCATGGATCCTGATCAGACTGCGCGGATGTGCAGGCTGATCTGGATCCATGCTGGTCGCAAACCCATTATGTTGGTTTTGTCATGACGTGGCTCATATATCCTCAATATGCTAAATTCATGAAAATAGACTTGCTTTCATCTGAATTAGGAACTGTTTTTTTGTAACTGTTACAAACTGAGAAGACGACAATATACAGACTGGTTAGGCAGCACCTGGTTCTATAGTATACTGAAAACTGGTGGCGTTGACAAGACCATACAGGAGATAAAAAATTGCTCTCGTTGTTCATTATAATTATACACATGTACATACATGAAACAGCTAATTCAGTAACTTTTCTATGCAGATTTAAGTTAAAAGTACATGTATAATAAAACACTTTCAAATGAAAGCTATACATATGCAATAGATTTATACATGAATTAAGAATACTTTGGGTTTTCCTGGCTAATCCAGGGTAACAAACAAACTTTTACAGTTTCAGCTTCAAAAATAAGTGCAACAGGTTGACTGAGCTAAAGTAAACGATAGTGCAATATGAAGCGAAAATGGTTAAAGTTTATACCAGGAAATTGGTTGCCAAGTTCCGGATAACAATACCGAATATATCATTTAAAGTTACATATATATGTGTACTATGAAAAGAATCACTGGTGATCCAAATATCATGTAGTACAGTAGAATTGTAATGTACACTCTTCTTTTGTGCAGTTTAGTTACACAAAAATGTACATTATAAAATTAAACATCCATGAAAAACATTATTATTCGAGTAAGTAAAATAGAAATCATATCTTGTCAGCAAGATATTAAATTGCACTTGAAATGACTTATCACTTAAGTTTCCCCTGGAAAGAACTTAATCCTTTATTTTTGTCTTGACTCCAGTTACTTATTACGAAGTAACTTACAAACAAGACAAAATAAAAGGTTAAATTCCTTTCTTTGAAAGGTGTTTTTATTTTTATTATGATAACAACTTCATTTACTTTGTGAATATAAATGGGATCAAGTGCCCAAGATGCATTGCTTCTGAAGATGGTCCCCGGCCTGTGTATAAATAAAATGGTTTCTTCTGTTCATACAGGTTCAAAATCTGATGCATATCTCTGAAAAATATAACAAAGTATGTCAGGTAAATCCGTAATTCAGAATGTTTAACTCAACATTCCATTCTATACAACTTATATCTGCAGATATAGCTTTAAAAAAACTAGAACTCCGCGAGTTGGATGTGTCGCCTTGTGAACAATATAGTTTAGGAGAAATGGCCAGAACAAAAATGAAATTTGAAAATCGACAAAGGGCAATAAATCAAAAAATAAGAAATGCAGAGCAGCAGTTTCTGTGCACTGCACTTCTTATCAATAATATCTATCATCCTATTAAGTTTCAAGTCTAAAGCTTTTATAATTTATGAGAAATGGCCTGGACAAAAATAAAGTATGAAAATTAACAAAGGGCAATAACTCAAAAAATAAGAAATGCAGAGTACCAGTTCTTATGCACTGCACTTCTCCTTAATGAGATCTATCATCCTATGAAGTTTCAAGTCCATAGATTTTATACTTAAGGAGAAATGGCCCGGACAAAAATAAAGTACGAAAATTAACAAAGGGCAATAACTCAAAAAATAAGAAGTGCAGAGTACCGGTTCTTGTGCACTGCACTTCGGGTCATTGTAAGAAGCATGCATACCAAGTTTGAAGTCAATCCGACTTATAATGACTGACTTATGCTCCGGACAAGCTTAAGGGGACGCCGACACCGACAACGACATTGATGCCGCCAACAAAAGTAACCCCTATATGTCGCCTTTTTCAAGGCAACACAACAACAGGGTCTAATGGCCCTGTTTTTTTTCTCACCAGAATAAATGTTACAATGAATCTTTTTCCTAATTTAAATCAATAGTTTACAGTGGTCTATAATACCAGTATCTTGCCTAGACTTAAGCTCATCTAAATACCAAGTATGACTTAAAACAAGAGCCACTGCCACTCTAGAGGAAGCATATTGAAGCAGAGAGTACTCCTAGAAAACATAGTTTCCTTGAACAAAATATTACTCAAATTTTATATTTGACTTGATATTCAAAAGGTCAAGATCACATTTGAAAATATATCCTGTTCATTTTGTTATAATTAAATCTTTTATCCAAAAATGAATTAAATCCATGCATGAATAAAGTTTTGACAATTTAAGCAAATTTCAATAATTTGCCCTTGACAGTTAGTCAAATAAAGGTCAAGTTCATAATAGAATAATTCAACATGTTAATTTCGTCATATAAGTTCCTTTATTCAAGCATAAATCAACCCTGCAATATGGCAATTTAAGCAAATTTCAATAATTTGAACTTGACAGTCAATAAATTAAATGTTACTTTTATTGTATGTGATCTTTTGTTCAAGTATGAAACGAATCAGTAAAAACTAGAAATGTGTCCATAGGACACGGATGCCCCCACACGCCACTGTTCTGTCAATCTTATGACTCTAGGTCAAATATTTTTTGGACTACATGTGCCACAAGTTGAAAACTAAAAATCAACAAAGGGCCGTAATTCTGTTAAATTTGATCGCAGCAAAAATTTCTTCCTTTACTACCATCTACACATTAAGGTTGTTCATCCCTGGAAGTTAAAGCAAAATCTGCCATCCGGTTTAAGAGGAGTTGCGTTCACAAAATTTCTACATAGTATATAATGAAACAAGAGCTGTCCGTAAGACAGCGCGCTCGACTTTTTTATTGCTTGCCAATAAAAAAAGTTTTTGCAGTAAAAGGCAATACAAGAATCTCTGTATTTTTAAAGTGAACAATGGCCATGAGCATTAAGATATTTAGTGAAGAATTATTTTACTGAATTGTGTGATACCCTTGAACACTGCAGCAAAGTTTGAAATGTTTAAGTCAAAAGAGTGCTTGCCTATAATACAAAACATTGACAGTTAAGGGCCATAATTCAAATAAAATCTTTGACAGAATTACCTTCTCCTGGACATGTTTGGGAATCATGATTGTAAACAAGTATTCCAACTTTCAAATTAATATCTCAAACAGTTCAGTCAAAAAGTGGACTGGTACTAAAAACTTAACCAAGATTCTAAGTCGATAAAAGGCCTTAATTTTTAAAACAAATCCTTGACAGAGTTACCTTCTCTTGCGTACAGATGGGGGTAATGATGTGAAATAGCATTAAAAGTTTCAAAGCAATATCTCAAAGGGTTAAGGCAATAAGTGGATTTTACCCATATTCAATGTATTTTCTAAGTCAAAAAGGGGCATAATTCTGTCAAAAACCTTGACAGAGTTATGTCCTCTTGTCTGTTGATGAAGGTCGTGATGGTAAACAAGTATGGTCAGTTTCAAAGCAATACCTCCAATGGTTTTGAAATAAAGTGAGGTGGTACAAAAAACTTAACCAAGCTCAATACACTTTCTAAGTCAAAAAAGGGCCATAATTCTGTCAAAAACCTTGACAGAGTTATGTACTCTTGTCTGTAGATGGAGGTTATGATGGTGAACAAGTATGGTAAGTTTCAAAGCCATACTTGTAATACTTCTGAAATAAAGTGGGGTGGTACGAAAAACTTAACCAAGGTGTGACGCCGACGCCGACGCCGGGGCGAGTAGGATAGCTCCCCTTTTCATAGAAAAGTCGAGCTAAAAATCAACAAAGGGCAATAATTCTGTTAAATTTGGTTGCAGCAAAAATTCCTTCCTTTACTACCATCTACACATTAAGGTTGTTCATCCCTGGAAGTTTAAGCAAAATCTGCCATCCGGTTTAAGAGGAGTTGCATTCACAAAATTTCTACAAGGTATATAGTGAAAAAATCAACAAAGGGCCTTAATTCTGTAAAATTTGGTCGCAGCGAAAATTCCTTCCTTTAATACCATCTACACCTTAAGGTTGTTCATCCCTGTAAGTTTAAGCAAAATCTGCCATCAGGCAGGGCTGTCATTGAATATCGCAATATCAATTTATCATTGATATTAATCATCTGATACAATATCGATCCACACTTTCAAATATCAATACAAGCTAAAATTGATTTATTTCTGTTAGTATATATACCTCTCTTTTTTGCCTTATAAGTTTTCTTGGCTTACTTTAACTTTAAATTCAGTTTTCAAATGACAGTTACAAAAATAACAGAAAAAAACAAAACTTTCTGTTAGTTTGAAAGAAAGTTTGTTGTATTTGTAATGTCGAATACAAGCATGCATATCATCATGATCCCAATTTAAAGAAAAACAACATATTTACATGCTTTTTATTGTATTTACTGTCAAAGACGATATATATCGTCGATATTTGTCATTCTATATCGATACAAAATTTTCCATCAATGACAGCCCTAGGTCAAGGTAATATCAGATTAATTCAACATGTCGGCTATGTTATATGTCACAGTGTTCTTTTGTCCAAGAATACTTCAAATCATTAAATAAATAACAAAATTATGACAATCTAAAAATAAATTCAATAATTTGACCTTGAACGTCAATGTCATTTATAGGTCAAGGTCATATTTGAACAACTTAACATGTCTGTTTTGTTATAAGTATCCTTATATTGTAGAATACTGTATAAATAAAATTCATTAATGAATAACAAACTTATGGCCAACTGTAGCAGAAATCACTAATTTAGTGTCAATGGTAAGGTCAAAATCAAGTTAAATCTTCTTAAATGTTTTGTCCCAAGGACTATTGTGTAGGACTGTTGTATAAAGACAATCCATTTATAAATAATAAAGTTACAGCCAATTATAGCAAAATTCAACATTTGACCTTCAAGGTCAAGGCCATTGAAGAGTGAAAGTCATTAATCAATCAATCAATCAATCATAGGTATTTTTATAGCGCGACACTTTATACAGTTATATTCTGTTGCGCTTCACAAGATCCTATAATGTCAAAGTCATTTCCACAGTTTAAAACTATATACACATTTGACGAAACTTTTTATCTATAAAATTGTTCAAAGAGGTGGGCTTTCAGTCTTTTTCTGAATGCAATTTCCGATGCAATGCACTTTAATTCTTTTGGTAGGGCGTTCCACCATTTAGGTCCCATAACAGAAAAAGATCTGTCAGCAAGTCTGGTCCTGCGTCTTGGCACAACAAACTGTGTACAATTGTCATCAGCAGCTGATCTTAGACTGTATTTTCTTTTCACACAATTGAACAAAGTTATGAGATACGTTGGAGCTGTTCCATGTATTACTCGGAAAACAATAAGAATTACTTTAAACATAATCCGTGCCTTGACTGGTAACCAATGTAGAGATTTTCTGAGATCAGCACTAGGTTGGTCATACACATTCATTACTACCCGAGCAGCCTGGTTTTGGAGTCTCTGAAGTCGATCTATTTGATAAACTGGTATTTCTGCAAAAAGTCCATTACAAAAATCGATGTGGGAATTGACTAAACCATGAACTAGTATTTCCGTTGATTTCTGAAACAGATGCTTACGAATGGCTTTCAGGTTCTTAAGTTGAGAGTAGGCTATTTGACACTTTTTTCGTATATGCCTGTCAAAACTAAGGTTGGCATCAAAGCAAACACCCAAGTCCCTTACATGGTCAACACATTTGACAAAACAACCACCTACATTCACACCGGGTATATCAACCTTTGCTAACTGTTGTGTAGTACCATACAAAATGATCTCTGTTTTTGCATTGTTCATTTTCAATTTATACTTTGCCATCCAAGAAGAAATATCATCCAAACAAGCAGATAATTGTTCAAGAACATAAGTTTCATTTTCTATGTTTCCAGCTTGAATTTGTAGAGCGACTTTATGATCATCAGCATAACCATGTAACTGAGCCGGGTATTTCTTGACAACTCTATTTAATGCTGCGATATACAAGGTAAAGATTAATGGGCCAGCACAGGAGCCTTGAGGCACACCAAACATCAGGTTTTCTTGTCTTGATGATTCATTGTTTATGATAACTTTCATGGTTCTATCAGTCAAGTATGATTTGATCCACTGTAAAGGAACGTCATCTATGCCAAAGTCATCATGAAGTATATGAAGAGCAATGGGGATGTCAATGGTGTCGAACGCAGCACTGAGGTCAATCATAACAACTATTGTAATTTGTCCATCATCAACAGCTTTCAGCAAATCATCATACATTTTTATCAAAGCAGTTTCTACTCCATGGTTTTTACGATATGCACTTTGATACGATGGCAAAAGTTTATTTGTCTCAATATGTTTAGTGATTTGATTCAGGGCAGCTTTTTCCAGTATTTTGGACAAAAATGATAAATTTGACACTGGTCTATAGTTTTTCAGCTCCAGAGTGAGACCTTTTTTCTTCAACAGGGGTCTTATCACTGCACTTTTCCAAGTCTGAGGAAAGATGCCAGAAGTAAGTGACCTATTCACAATTTCTGTGACTACAGGAAGAAAGTACTCAATGTTCTCTTTTAACTTGGTAGTTGGCATGAAATCAAGTTCACAAGTTGTAGACTTTGATTCTAAAATCAACTTCTTCACATCTGTACAAGAAAGCATCTCAAACTGATCCAAGCGACTGACACAAGACTGTTTTCCAACACTATTATTTTGATGTCCAGTATCAACATGTGTATTGTCAAGCTGATCTCTTAGATTTTTAATTTTGTCTGTGAAATATTGCAGAAAGTCATTAGCAAGATCTTGATCATTGGAATATGAAGGAAGAGGATTTTCTTTTTCTCTGCCAAGGAGTTTAGAGGTGACGTTATACAGTTTTTTCACATTTCCTTCTGCAATTAACAATTTGGTCTACTTGAAGTCTTATCCAAAGGACTGTTGTGTTCAAGTATGAAGACTTTCCACACATAAATATTAAAGTTACAGCCAATTAAAGCATAATTCAAACATTTGACCTTGAAGGTCAAGGCTATTGAAGAGTGAAAGTCATTAACAATTTGGTCTACTTGCAGTCTTGTCCAAAGGACTGTTGGATTCAAGTATGAAGTCTTTCCATACATAAATATTAAAATTGCAGCCTTTTATAGCAAAAAACATCTATGCAAAATTCAAACATTTGACCTTGAATGTCAAGGTCATTAATGAGTGAAGTCATGTTCTGTCTGGTCAACTTCAAGGTCTTTTTAATGTGTACAAGTATGAAGGCAATCCATTGAGATTTTTAAAAAATTAGACCATCGGTGTAAAAAAAGATGTATCCAAAAATATCATACCTCTGAGAAAAGAAGATTCCCCTGCGTATAAGGTGATGGACAGGTTTACCCGTCACTTTCTCAATTCTTTTGATCAGCTCATCATCCACTTTTTGACTACCAAAACGTTCTATTATAAAAATAACATACATTTATGAAAAGCAACAAAAGCTGTCGGTAGGACAGCAGCGCTCGACTATTATTAGTGCTTGATAGTAAAAAAAAAGCCTTGATTCAAAGGTAAAATTTTCTCAGTAAAGAAAAAGGCAAATTTTTTCTTTAAATCCATATTACAGTTATAGGCCTTGGTGAGAGTCCTATTATGCTTTCAAAGAAGAGTATAAAATTTCAACATGTTTCAAAGCCTTATGTCAATGAAGTTTGAAAATATTTGAGGTATTACAAAAACTTTAACGTAAATTCTAAGTCGAACAAGAGCTGTCGGTAGGACAGCAACGCTCAACTATTCTTAGTGCTTGATAGTAAAAAAAAATGCTTGATACAGTTACCTCCTCCTGTTTACAGGTTGGGGTAATGATGGTGAACAAGTGTGCAAAGTTTCAAAGTCATATGTCAATGAACTTTGAAAATATTTGAGGTATTACAAAAACTTTAACATAAATTCTAAGTCGAAAAAGGGGCATAATTCTGTCAAAATGCTTGATAGAGTTACCTCCTCCTGTCTACAGATTGGGGTCATGATGGTGAACAAGTGTGCCAAGTTTAAAAGCCATATGTCAATGGACTTTGAAAATATTTGAGGTATTACAAAAACTAAAACGTAAATTCTAAGTCGAAAAAGGGGCATAATTCTGTCAAAATGCTTGATACAGTTACCTCCTCCTGTCTACAGGTTGGGGTCATGATGATGAACAAGTGTGCCAAGTTTCAAAGCCATACGTCAATGGACTTTGAAAATATTTGAGGTATTACAAAAATTTTAACATAAGTGGTTACGCCGACGCTCGGGTGACTACAATAGCTCTACTTATTCTTATCGAATAGTCGAGCTAAAAAGAATGTGATCATGAACAAATAAATATTGAGGGAAAGAAAATTATACTTATTAAAAAGAAAATGTAGTACACTATTAACAGAACATACTTATCAATTTATCATAGTCTATGCCAGTGGCTGATTTGCTCTCAACATTCCACGGATCAACAAAGTCCTCATCTTCTGTTGACAGTTCGTTCATTTGTTTCACCTCATCTCCCATATTTTTTATCTTTCTGAAAAATTTCCCAATAACCAAGAGTGAAAGAGGCAAGACAAAAAAAAAGTGACTCTGAGATTGAAATCAAATTATTTTGGAGTTATTTGCAACAGTTTTGAATTATCTGCTCATGAAAATCGCCTTAAAGCAACAAAATTTACTTTCAGTGGCAGGTAGGCCTAACTAAAAGAGTAGGACCGTGGCTCATATTGTTTTCTCCAATTATGATATTCTATATATAACAGAGCTTTTTTCAACTTAAAGGGGGATGGTTGCAGGATGTGGGGAAAATTGTGCCACCTATTTTTGATAATGTAGTTTTACATTGTACAATATTCCTCTCTATTCTTTAGCTCTTGTGAAAGTTGTGATCAAGAGAACCCCCCCCCCCCCCCCAAAAAAAATAAATAAAATAATAATAATAATGTTGAAAGGGTATTTGTTTAGAAAATATACTTTCTAGGGATCAAAGGTGCCCGTCGCGTGACCTGGACCCCCACCCCCAACCCCACACTACAACCCCCCCATATTTTCAAAAATAAAAAATGATCATCTGAAACCTGTAAAACACTATCCAATATGCATATTATAATCAAATTAATAGTTTCCAACAAAAATATAAAATTCTATTGTTAATAATAAATTAACAATAGAATTTTATATTTTTGTTGGAAACTATTAATTTGATTATAATATGCATATTGGATAGTGTTTTACAGGTTTCAGATGATCATTTTTTATTTTTGAAAATATGGGGGGTTGTAGTGTGGGGTTGGGGGTGGGGGTCCAGGTCACGCGACGGGCACCTTTGCTAGGGATGGGATACTTTAAAAATCTATTTTGAAGCCGGGGGGGGGGGGGTACTGTATCTTGGGCATAATGCATTTTTAAAAAATAAATTTGCCCAAACATTTTGAATTGTCTAGAAACAGTATAGTTTACAAAGTTATTAAAAAGAAAACTCACTTTTAACAGTTTTATTCTGCTGTTCAGTTATCGATAGGCCTACTCATCAACCATCCAATTTATTACAATCGAATAGGTAATTATTACAGTAGATCTACAGTTGTTGCAATAACTTGATGTTTGCTTCGTTGACAACAGCTTAAATGTCAAAATTTTATGTTGACATACTGAGAAATTTCATCACATGTATGCTATATCCCAACAATATTTTTATCCCAAAGAGTAAGGCCTATGGAAAGTAGTCCTACTTTCACCCGCCTACAAAGGGAGAGCATCAGGAATGATTTTCTTTAAACGAAGCAACGTCCTTAAAGCATTTTCTTTTAATATTTAACATCGGCAAATTTTATATAAAACTAAGGTTAGTAACAGTTTTTGAAGACAATCATATCATTTTCTGCAAATATCAATACATTTTAATAAGATGACAATCAATTTGTATACCGGATAAAACACGTTACGGATACAATAATTTAAACAGGAAAAAAAATAACTCTTCTGTATTTTTTAAATTATTTCGTAATGAAACAAAAAATCTTTATATTTTGAAATTCACACTTGAACAATCTTTTATATCATTCACAATTTCGTCAATTAAAGAAAGTATATATTTTTAACAACGCAATTATCTTACCATACATATTCATACGCATTATGATTAACGGATAAGAACTATTTGGGCTGTAAAAGACTGAAACCTCTTTGCGAATTAACGGTACTAATTTTATGTTTGACATGTGCTTGCATCAGCTAGCGCCCATTTCATTGGCTTATACCGTGTCCTATTGTCGAATCAAAGAACCGACAGTACTTTAAGATATGGTAACTGAATGGATATCAAATTTATATTAGTTTGATAAAGCTTAAAGCACACCTGCAGATGAGCCAAACTATTTCAGGAAAATCAATATTGAGAAAAATGTACTAAAATTACAAGAAATGTAAAAACATTCAAGATCCAAGTTACATTTAACATGTTATGTGCGGTTACAAGACTGATTTTGCAGTATTTTATCACCATATTTCTATTACGTTACTAGTTAACGCAGAAACCTGGACTGTTTTAATAACATATGTTGACCACTTTTTGGTAATTTCCTTGGATTGTAATCTTGTGCCGATTTCAATATGAAAATTACTTTTTTGTTCATCTCATAATATTTTACTTTCAAATACAGTTCTAAAATTTCATGAAAATTAACATGATTCTGAAAGCGTGCTGCTTTAAAGCATCATTTTCTCGTGCATGCGCAATTTGCACAGGGGAAAAAAGCGTAGGGGCCAACGACAGTTCTTTAGTCAGAGCATTTCTTTTAATGGTGAGATTTTAATATGTCTGCTGAAATGAAAAAAAGCTCCCGGCAAAGTTATATTGTTAAGCCTGGGCTATTCGAATATTTAAAGGTATAACTAAGCTATTAACCATGCACTTAAATTTTTGGCCCCCGTACGGCGGAATGACAGACTTTTCTCTCCCTTACCAGTTCCTCTCCCTGACGGTTCTCTCCCAAACCGTTTCCTCCCCTGACGGTTCTCTCCCAAATTTGAAATATGCTGACAGTTCTCCCCCAATTTTTATTTGTTATCATTTTAGCTTTGATTTAATTAATCTAATTATATTTCTTGAAGATTATTAAAAGAATATATTTGATATTAAGTAAAGTGCATTTTATGTTTATTTGATTCTGAAAAGTGTTTGTAAATTTAACACCTTTTTCAGATATTTTAATCCTATTAACACCTTGATTGTGAGAGGTTAAGATTATTTGACAGTGATTGATATACATACACCTGTAATTATGTGAAGGTCTAGTGACATTCATTCATTTGTTAAATAGCGAATAAGGTGGTAACAAGTATGTTTATAAATCATTTTTTTCTTATATTTTTTTTCTTATTCATTAAAAAAACCAACAAAAAAAACCTCACCTAATGATTATCCTAATCAAGTAGATTAAACACATTTAAAAGTATGTTAGATCTAATAAAATTAATCAGAAAAATATACTAATATGCTTAAAATATTGTTTTGTGTAATCAATAAATTATAAACATGCCCATGTATTAAACATCTAAATACTACAATCATTTTTTTCTTCTCTAATTTATATCAATTAATATTATGATTTAATAATTAATTTATCCATTTATTAAACATCTAAATACTTCATTAATAATGTATTAATAAAAATAAACTTATATTATAAAGATGGGGAGGAACTGTCTGCTTATTTGCAAATATGTAGACGGTTCTCCCCCAAAATAGGGAGAGAACCGTCAGGGAGGAAACGTCAGGGCAGGAACTGGTAAGGGAGAGAATAGTCTGACTACCGTACGGCGCGGTACGGATATTATTGATCGTAAAACGGTGCATTGTGAGAAAATTGGCATCATAATTACAGCAAAATAAACATCAGAGAAGATGGCATGTGTTTTTAGACTTCGCCTATTTCCTGGTAAAATAGGTTATCGTTTTACTTATTTTCATAACACATATGTGTGTAATCAATATACCAGTGCCAGGGAATTATGTCTGTCTGCATGTCATGGTAAAACGCGATCAGAAAATTCAGTTTCAAAAACCGACTATCCATCAGATAATGACCTTGATAATGATTTCTTTGGTTTAAATGCCTTGGATAGAAAAGATCCAAAACCCCACAAGTCAATAACAAAAGAGGAAAAAATAGAGGAGATGTATGTTAAGAAAATGTTGCATCAAAGCAATGCTGCTAATGATGACATAAATATAAAAATGAGAAGTTATGGTAGTATTCGCTATGACAACGCAATTCCTATTTCAGAGAAACCGCCAAAGCTAACAAGGAAACAGAAGCGTTTGAAATCAGGAACTATGACAGGTGAAAGTGATACATATAAGATATCGTCTGCATTGCATAATGAAAATAAGGGAAATAAGATGTACAATGACAAGTTTAGTGTAAATAAAGAAAACTTTAATGATGTTAAAAAGTTTACAAACACCGAGATTGCACAGAATATGTGTAAAAGTAAAGAAGATTTATCTTTTGTTGATGAACAGTACTTTGCTTCTGATTATGTTCCCAAAATCAACTCTTCTGAATATGATAGGAAAACTTTGAGTAAAACTGAAAACTTTATTGATGTAAGTAAATGCACCAAGTCAGAGAATGCAGAAAATTTGTATGAGAACGCAAGTGATTTATCTTTTGTTGATAGGCAGTTCTTCCTTATTGATCATGACTACAAAAAGAAAGCTGAAAGGAATACTGTAGATGGAATTGAAAATTCTTGCGAAAGTGATAACCTTACAATGAATGAGAGTGCAGAAAATTTATTGACCAATGAAGAAGAATTGAACTTTTTTGATGAGCAGTATTTTGATAACAAACATGTTTCCAAAGATGTGGTGCCTCGTGAATACAAATTACAAAAGAGTTTTGATCAAGTTTCAGGACATAGGAATGTAAAGAAAAACCAACCCAAATCAGTTGAGACATTTGACTTAGCAAAATTTGAAAAGACTTTGAAAGAAACGGCAGATTCAGTTGAACCATATTCTAAACCAGTGAAGAGTATAGAAGAGCCTAAAAAGAAGTCGGACATTAATAATTCTCAAAATTTAATGAATGAGAATCAGTCTTCAGAAGAGAATCAGTCAGTGTATGCAGCAAGTATAAAGATTAGGAAAGAGTTAGAAAAGAAAAGAGGCAGTAATCTTACAGGGACATACGATCCAAAAGAGTATGATAGCAAGGGCTTTCGGATCCTTACAAATCAAGTTCCCCATTTTGATAATGCACCATCTATTGATGTAGTGAAAGTGTTGAGAAGAAGCATCATATATGATGATAATGACATAGTTGCTATAAGTAAACCTTATGGGTTACCGTCTGTTGATGGACCAAATGTGCTCCATAGTGTTGGAAATTTACTTGATGAAATCATACCCAACACAAAACTTTTTCGAGTACATAGACTTGATAAAGAAACAACTGGTGTAATGTTGTTAGCTAAAACAGAAGAAATGGCAAAACGCCTTAGTGAACGCTTTTACAATAGAGATTTAGTTAAGAAGTATGTAGTGATAACTAAGAATATCCCTGAAATGCAATGTGGTGAAATTGATATTCCAATTATTGAAGGAACTGTCGAAGGAAAAATAAGGATGTGCCTTAGACCCCATGACTGTCCAACTGTCAGAGCTATAGATAAGAAAAGACAGGCGGGCATAGAGGCTATTACAAAGTATAGAGTTCTTGATCAAGGAGATAAGTGTGCTTTAATAGAATGTTTGCCACTGACTGGTAAAAAACATCAAATAAGAGTCCACCTAGCTTTTGGGTTGAATTGTCCAATACTTGGGGATCATAAATACTCTCATATTGACAGAATTGCTCCCATGAAACTTCACCCAGAAATCCTGAAAAGACTTGGTATTCAGCAAAGCAAAGTGAGGTGTTTGGCCATGCATTTGCATGCTAGGTCAGTCATGATTCCAGAATTTTTAGATGGCAAAAATCTGTTTATAAAAGCACCTGTTCCTCCTCATTTTGTTCGAAATATGAAAGATTTAAAATTGAAATTTCCAAAAGAAAGGTACATGTAGTGTCTGAAAGTGTGAGCATATGAAATATTATAATTAACATATTTATTCTGTTGCTGATTGAACTTTGAATTTGTTAAAAAACTTAGCTGATGATATGACATGTAAAATGAGATATTTTTTTGAGCTGAATAAAGAAAAATTGAATTTTTAAATTTAATGTTTCGTTGAATGTGAAAGAATTAAAAAAAAATAGTATTCCTGTATATGCTTAGATATTTATCAGGACTTTTTTCATAAGTAGGGGAAGGGGCCTTTCCCTTAAAATTTGGGGGAGGGGGGTTAATAACAGTATTTTGAAAAATGGGGAGAAAATTCTTGATTTTAATTTAATTATAGGGAAGGTCTGCGAAATTCCTTTGGAAATGGCATTGGTATAGAAATAAAAAAAGCCCTGTTTTTTAGTGAGTAGAAAATTTAAAATAAAAATAAAGTACATAAAAAGCTCTTGATTTTTTTCTTGTATAAAAATAGAGTCTCAGTCTGTCAGTCATATAAGTATCATTATGTTACATGCTAAGCAAATAGCAGTATAAATTTTATAATGATAATATTAATACAATAAACATGTATCATTAAATTGGGTTGAGACAAGTTCTTGCTGAATTATAAATTTTTGATTGGCTGATCTATCACAAAGGTGAATGAAGTCACAACTAGGATAGACTATGTGTATAACATACTGTGTGCAAAAGATTTTGACATTTTCAAATGCTTTACTGGAATCTTAAACCTTTGCTTTTGAGTTAAATTTTGCAAATCAACATTTTCAATTGAATTGCATTCTGGTTCATAAAAGTGGGTTCTGTTACCCGGAAAGCATGCTTTATTATAATAAATGTCAAACTTTTGACATTTGGCAAGGGTATGCTATGGGATATTTTTGTTTGTTTTGTTTTATATTTTTAAAACTGTCAAGAGGCAAGGATGTGATTGATAGTTTTTAATGTGGTTTTATAAATTGTCTGAGTTTTAAAGTGCTCCACTTTAATTTTTTGTGATATAAAAAAAGCCACTTACATGTAGGACATTATGTATGTATTCAGTTATGATTACATGTAAGCATTACATGTCTTATTGCACATATGTGAAAGGAGATTTATGAACTGTTGGCCACATCACGCACATGACGACAAGCTCGAATTTAGATTATTTACATAAATCATGTACATTTTTTACATGTATAATACATGTACATTTGAATGTGTTTCAAACAGTGCTCATTAAAGCAGCATGCCTCCAGATTCATGCTAATTTTCATGAAATTTAGAAGTAAAATATTGTGAAGTGAACAAAGAAAGTAACTAACTAGCACTTAAAATCCACGAAAATTACTAAAAAGAAGTCAAAATATACAAAAAAAGCCCATACTGTGTTAGTAACACAGTAGTAACACAGTAGTAACACAGTAGAAATGTGGTGATAAAATCTGCTTAATCAGTCATTAATTGTACTTAGTGTGTAAATATTTTGGACCATCTACATGATCTAGGCAATCTACATGCAGCTTTAAATATATAAAAAAATGACTGTATTTATGTAATAGAAACACAGATATTTATGTAATAGAAACAAAGATGCTGAAAAGTACTTATCACAGGTCAAGCTGGTATTATTTTTTTTTTATGTTCTGTGAGTAATAGTATAGAAAAGTTGTACCTTTGGAACAATATGTGGTATGCTGGATAAATATTAACTATCATGACTTAAATGTAGTGATTTGGTTCTTATATTAGACTGTCAAGTTTTGTTGTTCACAATTATTTTCATAATTTTAATGCATTTGTGTTAATTTCCAAGTGAAAAATAAAAAAATTATTTTGATTATTATTCTTGTAATTGTGTCTATATTATCATTTCTGAAATAAAAAGTGATAATTTTAATGATAATAACATTAATGATAATGATGATAATAAATTGTAGAGTGTGAAACATGTATGCTTTAAAAGATTATGGCTCTGACTCAGACGATTCTATAGTAAATGTGAATGATGACACTGAAAAAGAAGATAAATCAGAATGCGAAACAATTGACAACTTTTTCGGTATATATCCTGGCAAGTCATCAAAGCTTACTGTGAATAAGGATGAAAAACAGTTAGAATTAAAGGATAAAAATACAAAAGTGGATGTGAAAGTTGATGGACAGGAAAAAATTACAGCTGAGATACCATCAAGTTCATTCTGGAGTGATTTACAAAATGATGAATTACAGATTCTTCATGAAACTGCCAAGTTCACAGGAAAGAAAGCTGAGCATTCAAGCAAAGTTTACGTGAAAGGCACTTCACACAGAGAAGATGTAATTTTCCAACAGAAAAGGTCTTTTGATCATAAAAGTGGCCACAGTGATATCAAAAAACAAAAGACTGCAGTGCAATTAGTGACAACTTTGAACAAACAAGGTGAAACAAGTGAAACATGCAGAAATATTGAGAAAAGAAAACTCCTCGTCATTCATCCAAAAATATCGCCAGTGCTACATATCAGGAAGAAAAAATATGTAACTCCTAAAAATAAAGAATGGGAAAACCCAGGTCATGGTGGTGCTATAAATAGACTGAAATGGAATGTTCCAAACTATTCTCATCTTCTTGTCACTGCCTCAATGGACTCTGTCATTAAAATTTGGAATGTTTGGAGTCAGCTGGACCCCTGTGTACAAGTGCTGAGAGGTCATTCTAAGGCTGTTAGAGATGTTGACTGGAACACTGAAGGAAATCAACTCTTGTCTTGTAGCTATGATAAATCTGCAAGAATTTGGAATATAGAAACAGGTAAGGAAGACTTCTTAATTATTACAGAAACTTTAAAAAAATGACAAAAATGTTGTCTTTCATGTGCTTTCATAGTTTTTTGTGCCCCCACTTTAGTGGCGGGCATTTAGATTTACCCTTGTCCGTCTGTCTGTCCGTCCGTCCGTTCACTTTTGTGTCGCACGTAACTCAAAAAGTATTTGACCTAGAGTCATGAAACTTTACAGGAATGTTGATCAGCATGTGTATTTGTGCACCTGGGTATTTTCGTCTGGATATTTTTAGTATTTTCAGAGTTATTGCCCTTGACTTAGTAAAATTTTGCAATTTTCAAATTGTGTGGCATGTAACTTAAAAAGTATTTGACCTAGAGTCATGAAACTTTACAGGAATGTTGATCAGCATGTGTAGTTGTGCACCTGGGTATTTTAGTCTGTATATTTTTAGTAATTTCAGAGTTATTGCCCTTGACTAAGTAAAATTTTGCAATTTTCAACTTGTGTGGCACGTAACTCAAAAAGTATTTGACCTAGAGTCATGAAACTTTACAGGAATGTTGATCAGCATGTGTTGTTGTGCACCAGGTATTTTCGTCTGGATTTATTTAGTATTTTTAGAGTTATTGCCCTTGACTTAGAAAATTTTTGCAATTTTCAACTTGTGTCGCAAGTTACTCAAAAAGGATTTGACATAGAGTCATTAAACCTTATAGGCAGGTTGCTCAGCATATTTAGATTTGCACCTGGGGTTTCGCTTGTGGATTTATCCAGTATTTGTAGAGTTATTTCCGTTGACTTAGTAAAAAGATTGACAGAACAGTGGCGCGGTGGGGGCACCAGTGTCCTATGGACACATTTCTAGTTGTTTTGATAAGAAATAAGTTTTTATAAAAGTTGTTTATACTTTTAGGTTTAAAGTTATCTTGCAAAATCCATACAATAGACTTTCCCTGCTTTGAAGTTGGAACAGTCTTTAAAAATTGTGGAGATTTCAATATCATTAAAATGTGAAGATTTACATGGCTGGCAGTTAAAAGACTGGTCACACAGCACAAAAATAATGTGCACTGATGGTGGCATGATAGGCTATTTGTGGCTGTGGCTAACATTCAAAGGGCCTTTAGAATTAGTTTGAGCAGGTAATTGTATATGGCACTCATTTAAGTGAAAAAATATCAGAATAGAGTAGAACGGTTGAAAGAATTTGTTAAAAATCTGTCTGCATTCAATTCTTATTATATGTTTCAGATTATATTGTCATGTTTTTTGCACTGTTTTCATTGTACCAGGTGTTTCCACATCCACATTTGATCACACCAGTTATGTTACATGCTGCAAGTATCATTCAGTGAATCACAATGTTAGTGTAACTGGTAGCAACAATCAAATACAAATCTGGGACAGTAGAACGCCATCAGCACCTTGTAAAACCTTTACATACAAGGACAATATTGGACAGGTAAAAATAAATGTAAATCTTGTCATCTTGATTTGGGAACTGCTGTTGTTTCTTTTCTGGATTTTTTTTAAAGTGTAATGTGGTATCTTTTTTGTTGAAAGAAACTAATGTACATCATAGAATTGCAAACAACAAGTGGTTTTAAAGCCAGCAACTTTTTGCCATAGGAGCTCTTCTTGATATTTTAAAACTTTTTGTTAGTGGTACAAGTATCTTAACATTGATGTTACTAAAATATAATACAGTGTCTTTGACATTGTGAGATTATTTATATAGATATATTCTAAATCTTTACTACTGCTGAAGTTGATTTATTGATTTTGCTAGCTCTACTTTGAATTTGAAACTATAACTTGTTATCTTGTGGAGCTTTAATTTAAAAAAAAAGGATAAAAATCAAGCAGCAGCAGTATAAAAGCTGACAGGTAACATTGATGTGCTATCTGGGCTGACTTTATGCTTGTACCAGGTAGTCTAGTCAAATCTTTGCTGCTGTAAGCATTCTAGGTGTTAAATAAGGTTAACTGCTCTTTTAGGTACAGGATATTGTAATGACAGGAGATGGTTCCACATTATTTAGTTGTACAGATTTAGTAAGCCGGGACTCAGCTGATAGAAATCTTATGGCATGGGACTTTCGCACCGGAGTTGTTGTTTCAAACCAAATATACCAGGTATGACACTGTCAGTTGTTGACATTTATTTAATAGTCCAAAATATATTGTAAAAATGACATCAGACAGTTTTGGTTACAATGTTATGTTTAATGCAATTTGTCCTTACCATTTTACCAAATGATATACATGTACATGTATGAAGAGAAACTTGACAGCTTCAAAGATGAAGAAACAAAAACAAAACAACAAAAAGAACAAACAACAACATGATCTGCACTGAAACAGATTCCTGTTTTGCATGTAATTGTCAGGGCTGGCATTTAACCAAATAAAAAAAATGGTTTAAGGGAAGTAAAACTTAGAAAAATTGAATTCAAATCAGTCTGTCATTGCCATGGATGGAAAAAAACTAAAATCATTCAAATCAATTCTTTTATCATTTAATGCACAGGGATATTTTAAGTCTTTTTATTTTCCAACAGTAAAAGCTGAATTATTACCCTTGAATCATATCATGCATGTGTATTTTATAACTATTCCTCAATATTTGTTTGAGCTGGTTTCAATTAATTTTTCTATATTTTCATGTAGGAAAGGTTTACACTGAACCGGTTACAGATTCACCCTACAGACAGACAGGTGTTGGCACAGTCTAATGGAAATTATATAGCCATTTTCTCCTTACAACGCCCTTATAAGATGAACAAACATAAAAGATTGGAAGGTCATAAGGTATTAACTCTGTCAATATATATTCTATATTTCCATTTTATTGATTATTATTTGTGGTAAACTTTAAGCTGTGACTAATTAAAGATAAACACCAATATTAGACTATGGATTATTTTTAGCTCACCTGTCACAAAGTGACAGGGTGAGCTTTTGTGATCGCTTTTCGTCCGGCGTCCGTCCATCGTCCGTCCGTAAACTTTTACTTTAAATGACATCTCCTCATAAACCACTAAGCCAATTTCATCCAAACTTCACAGGAATGTTCCTTTGGTGGTCACCTTTAAAAATGTTCAAAGAATTTAATTCCATGCAGAACTCTGGTTGCCATGGCAACCGTAAGAAAAAACTTTAAATATCTTCTTTTAAAAAACTCTAAGAGCTAGAGCTTAGATATTTGGCATGGAACATTTTCTAGTGAGTGTCTACCAAGTTTGTTCAAATAAAAGCCCTGGGGTCAAAATTGGCCCCGCCCCAGGGGGTCATTGATTTTCCCTATATGCATATAGTAAAAACTTAAAAAATCTTCTTTTAAAGAACTCAAAGAGCTAGAGCTAAGATATTTAGCATGAAACATGTTCTTATGGGTGTCTACAAAGTTAGTTCAAATAAAAGCCCTGGGGTCAAAATTGGCCCCGCCCCGGGGGTCATTGATTTTCCTTATATGTGTATAGCAAAAACTTTAAATATCTTCTTTGAAAAAACCCAAATAGCTAGAGTTTAGATATTAAGCATGAAACATCTTCTAGTGAGTGTCTACAAAGTTTGTTCAAATAAAAGCCCTGGGGTCAAAATTGGCCCCGCCCCGGGGGTCATTGATTTTCCTTATATGTGTATTGCAAAAACTTAAAACTCTTCTGTGAAAAAACTTGAAAAGCTAGAGTTTAGATATTAAGCATGAAACATCTTCTAGTAAGTGTCTACAAAGTTTGTTCAAATAAAAGCCCTGTGGTCAAAACTGGCCCCGCCCCTGGGGTGTCATTTTTTTAACTATATGTGTATAGTAAAAACTTAAAAATCTTCTTTGAAAAAACCCAATGAGCTAGAGCTTAGATGTTTAGCATGAAACATCTTCTTATGGGTGTCTACCAAGTTTGTTCAAATAAAAGCCCTTGGATTAAAATTGGCCCTGCCAGGGGGAGGGTGGAGGCCTATATACAGGTGAGCGACCTCAGGGCCATCATGGCCCTCTTGTTGGTATGATCCGGTGCCTGGTTGTATGATCTGGTGCCTGGTTGTATGATCTGGTGCCTGGTTGTATGATCCTGTGCCTGATTGTATGATCTGGTGCCTGGTTGTATGATCTGGTGCCTGGTTGCATTATTAGGTGCCTGGTTAGAGTCACTCACTGTCACCAACCTTCG